CTAAAAGCGGCGTAAAACCATACTCACTCACGCACTGGATGAAGAGTGGAGAGTTTGCTCTCTCTGCAGTTGCAGATCGGGACTGGCGTACGCGAGCCAACTTTCTCAGCTCACTTCAAGCTGACGGATTGTTCCGAGAACAGCAGCACCGACTTTCTGATGCCATCTTGGATCTTGTCACTGGCAAGGTAAAGTGACGTGGACGTCATTTTTCGATGGAGGGAAGTATGTGGCCGATGTAGTTTTTGTATATATTTGTTTTAATTTCATTTGAGGTTTTTACGTATATTTATCATATATAACTAGTTGTCCGTTTCAGTCAGCTATAACAAAGTGTATCTGACCTGTCTTACCTACTAACTGCCCCATGGCCAGAAGCTTCATTTGCTGATTGGCCAAGCTAACACCTATTGTTAAACTGCATGCTTTGATTACACTGCATACTCTCTCAGCACATAAACTGACAGAACTGCTCAGACCAGCAAAGTGTAAAGAGAGAATATTAAATCAGGTGAGTTAAATAGTTATAATCTATATCTTGTGTTGTATTTAAATAATACAGTATGTTCAAAGTGTTATATGAAGTAAACTAAATGTAGGTAATCTAACATAAATGTTGATTTATGTCTAAATATTTAAATCTGCATAGGATAAGCTAAACATCCATACTTTATCACTAAAATGTATTCTATCACTTCAATGAAATATGTGTGAAAGTGTTTTACCTCAAGAGTGTTTTAATAAGCTTTGTAATGTAGAGATTCAGATGTGATACAATGCAAATCATTGTAAAGAAAATGTGTGTATTACTTTGTTCAATATATTAAATGTTAAATAGTGTTTTAGTCTATGTATTGTTTATTCAGATAATCTATGGTGTTGCTATATAGGCAGTTGGGATCCACACCCTTGTATCACCCACAGGGTATGCATTGTGTTATTTATATTTGTCTAAGACTTACAATGTAATCTAATTGTGATGACCACATTTAATGTAATATCATATCATTAATTTCTGTCTTAAAGTATTGTATATGTTTATGCAGAATGTGTAAGCGTTATGCATTTATATTATGTATATATATTGTGTATATATTATAGTCAAATGAAAGTCAAGGAGTTATCTCCCTTGAATGTCGGTATTGTTGATCATGTACATACTGTATATGTTCTAGTATAATCGTTTAAGGTTCAGTCTATCTTGTGTTTAATGGATGACTAATATATGTAAATAATTACTTGTAATAAGCCTATGCTGTGTATCTAGCATTAATGATAATGTTTTACTTAGTATTTATTGTGTTATTATGTGTTTCAGGGTGTATGATATATAGATCCTTATCACACTCGACGCATCGCAATAAAGACCTCAACCCCGTAGCATGTGTTTGTTCGCTATAAAAAGACCTTCACTAAACTGCTACAATAGTTCGTTATTTATGTACGTCTATTGGGATCATGCGAGTACACAACGATTCTATGGTCATGCGGATAAGGCGTCTGCCCGGAGAGCTGAAGGTCGTGGGTTCGTTCCCCGGCCGCGTCACACCAAAATAAATGTGAAAATGTGGTACTTGTTGTTTCCCTGCCTGACACTCGGTATTAAGGGGCTAAAACAAGGAGTGGTCAGCTCGATTATATTAAGCAGCATGTGCAGCGTCCGAACATTACCAGCACGAACTGAAAGAAAAGTACGTGCAGATACCGTATTTATAAGCCCTCGGAGTCACCTGACTGTTGATTCTTACCCGGATTGAAACCATGTGATCAAAATTTAATGCTTATGTTTATCGCTAAGAAAATGGACATTTCTTGAAAAGCTGACTTTGCAATTTTTTAAAATTACTGTAAGTAAAATTCCTTATCGGCGGAATAGCCTTTGTTCACTTAATAAGTATTAACACACATGCAGCTATCTTCGTTAATTAATCATTGCGATATTTCGTGTTTCTATTTCAAGTGGGAAGTAAGATAACCTTATGATGCCTTGTTTCAAATATGATCAATCTTTCAGAATATTGTGGCACAGTGAATATGTAGAGCTACCTTTTTACCCCAAAACACTTCGGCATAAACCCGAGGCAAGGCAAGAGTAGCCGTTTTCGCCAATTGGTGCCGTTTTCGCTCGGTGGCGTTTTGCTGAGTTGCCGTTTTAGGTATAATCCATTGTGTTTCTCATCTCCAATGTTATCCAACAGGAGGGCGGAAATAAAAAAAAGAAGAGAAAAGGGTTCCTTACTGCAGAATACCTATTCAAGTCTTTGGCGATGTATACCAAATATTTGACAATTTAAACATATTGGGAGCAAATTTAAACACATTGTGGAAACATATCTATGCATTGATTAAACTTGAGGCTTCTGAAAAATAAAGAAATGAATCAGGATGTCTTGAATCGTCTTAAAATAAGACAGTAGATCGACGCACACAATGGTTTTTATTGTTAAAGTGTAACGGCCAGGTAAAGTTTGGCTTCCTTATCGGCTTCGTACATATATTTGTATGAGGTATGACATGACAAAATATACGTACGAGTAAATAGAATCACAGTAAATGTTGAAATATTGGCTCACTGCACGTGAACCAGGCGTTTATGTAGATGATAGGAAGCTGGGACAGGTTGTGTTGTTTGTCAAGCTTTGTCAGGATTCTCAGAGGCGTTGGGGTTGCCAAGTGGTTAAAGCGTTGGGTACAACGTGTGAAGCCCATTCCTGGTGTTCTCTGCTGTGATATTGCTAAAAGTGGCGTAAAATCATTCTCACTCGTGCAATCTGGAGGTTCTCAAAAGTGGTTTTAAGTTATGTATTCTTTAACGATCAAGGTTGCACCAACCCTGAACTTCACAAATACCAGAGTGGCCCGTCTGTGTGATTGCACTTGTCGCAGGTGTTCATGCCATGTACTTTCTCAAATAGCAACACTGCTCCCAGCTTTATAAGTGAGTTATAGTGGAGGCGAATCCCATATCGCGACATACAAATAAAAGCAGTAAAGAGTTCCTTTCATTCCAAGTTCACTTTAAGAGCGCATACTGTCAATTATAAATATTGTGAAATTTGATAGCGTTTTCAAGGAGCGGCATGCGGACAAAAATTGACGGCAGATAACACGGATAACACCCCCCCACGCACACGCACACACACCATGTGACACACATTTGGATTAAGGAAATGATGTAAAATCAAAGACAAATATTACTTATATTTCAGTGGTATAGGCTAGGCTAAAGATACGCTGATACACCGCACACGGGTGGTTCAATCGTGTAAGGCGCAACAATTCCCTTGAAACCTACGATCGTGGGTTTAAATCCCGGTTCGCCCCGATTATGTTTCTAGGTTTGTCAGCACCATACCCGTGCTCGTGGGTTTCGCAGAAGTGGTAAACGTCTGAGACCTGCATCACTTCGGGCACATTAAGCTGACACGCCGCGATATAACTGGTATACTGTTAAAAGCGGCGTTAAACTAACTGACTCACTCTAAGAATCTCTTTTGCAAGTTTATGTACGTCAGCAAAAGATAATTTACTCCCGTTTCCTAACGTTCGTGGACAGTTCACGAGAGCATCACAAGAAGGTGTAAAACGACTGGTTCATGAGCGCTTTATGAGCTCAACAACCCCAAACAAACGGTGGACGATTCGCCACTTTTTTGACTGACAGAAAAAGAACCACTTCCTTTTATGAGATTTAAATTGCAGTAGACGTGAAGGTGCGACAACTGAAATATTGTTTTTGAAGAATTATATTAATAATATTGTTCACATCTATTCATATGTCAATAATAAGGATTTGCTTCAGCACAGTTATATTAGTAAATTAGTAAGGATAAAATGAGATTGCATTTGTAAACACATACTGGGAACTTTTGAAGAGACCGCATATTAAATTGGCCCACGAACAACAGAATACGGAGCACGTGTTAACAATTAAAAAACAACTCAAACTAAATCGATTGCAAATTGCAATTCTAGGTTCAGTTATTCCAATGCAACTCTCTAATATCTTTCACAAACTTGTCAAATTTGAGTTTTTACTGTTCTAATGTGGGCAATTATATGATACTATTGTGACCACAAAGTGATACAGTAGATAGACTTCAGCAAGTGAGTATGGTTATACGCCGCTTGTAGAAATATTCCTGGAATATCACAGCTGGAGACACTAGAAATGGGCTTCCCTTACTTGTACCCATGTAGGGAATCGAACCCGGGTCTTCGGCGTGACGAGTGAACGCTTTAACCAGGCTACTACACGGCCACGGCTTAAGTAGTGAGTGAGTTGGGTTTAACGCCGCTTTTAACAGTATCACAGTTATATCGCGGCGTGTCAGCTTAATGTGGGAGGAAAGCCCGAAGTGATGCAGGTCTCAGACGTTTACCACTTCGGTGAAACCCACGAGCACGGGTATGGTGCTGACGAACCTAGAAACATAATTGGGGCGAACCGGGATTCGAACCCACAATCATAGGTTTCTGGCGTGCCCAAGGGACGCAACTCTGCACAGCGAATCGCGGCGCCTTAGACGACTGGGCCACCCGTGCCCCCACGGCTTAAGTAAGAGGAAAGGGACCTGGGATTTTATCCATGTAGAGGACAGCCACGACTGTCGTTAGTCTCAGTCGCCAAAAAAGAAGAGTTGTGAGACAATCCTTAGTATTGCAAAACGTGTGGCAGAGTACTCATGTGGTTTTGTGAACGTTAGCAGATGTATTGCTGTGATCTAACGTATGTGTGCATTAAAACGACAACGCCCATGAAGTATTCAGTCAATTTGAAAAGAGTTCAAACAAAATGGAACTGATAAATTCACATTAAACATACACACATGAATATTTGAAAACTTACAATGATAACACGTGTTGTCACGAACTGGATGGGTGTGTCATGTCCCGAGCGTGAATAGTCGGGGTCAAAATGTGCAGTTTGCCATAGACAACATTCCCGGTGAAGGAAATAACCCCAGGTATTACTTTGAGCATGACAAAGGACAATTTTCAACATAGTCAACAATTTATTCATGGCCTTGTTTACAATGTAACTTTCAAACATGTTTTCGTAACGCATGTGATTTTATATTGAATACATGCTTTAGGAACACAGCAACAGATGTTACGATGTGAAAATCTTTGGGTTGGACAAATTAATTGTTGCAAGTGGGTTATTAATAGTAATAACAGGAATTAACTATTTGGATCTTTACATTGAATACATTTTGAAAATGAACATAATTCATCTTCTACAACACTGATGTCTCTATTTGTACATAAAACATTTGAGTTATCCCTTGTCTTGCATTTCCGAGCATTACTTACATGTAAATTATGTCATGAAGTTCTAAATTTACAAAAGACTCTTATTATTAACCGTTTATCATCTAAATGAGAAATGTCAATTCGTTTTCTATAACCCTTAATCTCTGTCTAAATACATATAACAATATTCTTACATCACCGACATTTTGTGCGATATATACGTGAGAAAATCTACAAAGTGTGCCTCCTTAAGCCGTCGTGGTGATAAAAAGTATTTTGTGTAAAGTTACAGGTTAATTTTCCAAATTAGTTATCAAATTATTAAAAAACGAAAGCCAACAAGCGCCATTATTCACTACATAAAACTAGAAAACATACTGACTATTCAGATCGACCGATATGAGGCGTCAAATATACGAAAAATATATATAAATCTTTAATAGCTATATACATATTTAATGTCATTCAATAAATAATTTGAACAAAATACAAAACTGGCGGAATGAAACACACATATGTAACAATAAAATAACTGAATAAACAAACTAATAACTCCCCCAGTGTTTAAAAATATATATAACAAATGTCTCCAAACACCAGAAATATACAACGGTGCCAATTATGATAAGTAATGACGATTGATAAATAATAATGTGATCGATATAGTTCATTTTATCAAATAAAGTACAGTCGAGTATTAATACTGTACCGACTGCTGTAGAAATCTTGTCATATCCATTGCCATCTCCACAGGGACAGTACAACAAGTTATTTGAGTATTAATACCGTAACGACTTGTACATACATCTTGTCATTATAATCCCATCTTCACAAGGAGAGTACAACACTTTGCTTTGGTGTTAATACTGTACTGACTTGTACATACATCTTGTCATATATAATCCCATCTACACAAGGAGAGTACAACACTTTGCTTGGGTGTTAATACTGTACTGACTTGAACATACATCTTGTCATATATAATCCCATCTCCCAAATCCCTTTTTGTTAAATATATTCCCATGCTCAATGGGCGTTAAAGTAACAACAATGAAATACTGATATTAACCCGCATGCACACTTTTACAAGCGACCGCCTAATATCAACGAGGCGGGTATTTTGCCATCGTCGTATTGCAACGTGGCTATCTCCATGAAAGACGATAAGAATCCAACTTCAGCGAACACCAATTAATTCGGTCGGCACTTTTCTAGAAAAAGTCTTCCGGTGTCAGATTTCCGGATGAACGAATGTAAGATAATATTCATCAGTGTTTTACCGACGTCCCCAAAATTGACGTTTGGAAGGGGTTTCCGGACTTCCGGGGTCCTAGTCAAGGTGGGTTTCCAGATTGATGGTGTCCAAGCTGACCAGGTTTCGCTGTATGTGTATTTAACATGACAGCTAGATGTCTTGGGAGTTCTGTAACAAGGTGGCAAAGGATGTATGCTTTCTCCGTGTTTAGAATATGATCCATGGAACAAAATTTCTAAAATAGTTTGTTGTTTAAAGCCGCCCACAGCAATATTCCAGCTATATGACGGCGATATTCGCGTTCGGACTAGACAATCCAGGGATTTTTATCATGAGCATCGATCTACGCATTGAGGATACGATGACATGCATCAACCAATCAGCGAGGCTGACCACCCGATCCCGTTATTCGCCTATTACGACAAGCATAGTCGACTGTTACGGCAAGCATGGGTTACTGAAGACAACCCCGATCTTCACTCTATTTGCCTGTGAATAGTGCGCACAGCAACACTACCAAGTCGGTGAGGGTCGAAGTTACTTACCAGATATGTCCTATTTGGCCTCTGATCAACTTGTGGACGAGGTACTTCATACTGAAAGTAAACATCCACATTATCATTATCAAGTCGATAAAACAATTGATTGTATGTTTGTTTCAATATTGAACACCTAGTTTCTTGTTTCAGGTTGTTTTACCAAAAACTGAATAATGATAAGTTTCCTGGAAAGTAATCGTGAATATGATACGTTTCCTGAAAACCAACTGTGAATATGATAAGTTTCCTGGAAACCAGCAGTGAATATGATAAGTTTCCTGGAAACCAACAGTGAATATGAAAAGTTTCCTGGAAACCAACAGTGAATATGATACGTTTCCTGGAAACCAACAGTGAATAAGATAAGTTTCCTGGAAACCAACAGTGAATATGAAAAGTTTCCTGGAAACCAACAGTGAATATGATACGTTTCCTGGAAACCAACAGTGAATAAGATAAGTTTCCTGGAAACCAACTGTGAATATGATGTTTCCTGGAAACCAACCGTGAATATTATAAGATTTCTGGACCAACAGTGAGAATGATAAGTTTCCTCCGTCAGTGGAAACTACAGGGAACAATACGGTTTCTTGTACACCGGAAACCGGAAACTAATCGTCTACATTCCTACACGGAAGTCTAACGGGCGTTGAAGCACTGTGAATGGCCGTGTTGGAGAAGTTATGTCCATACAGGGGCTGCTAAACCCCAGTCCAATACTAGATTACCAGAGATTCTGCTCCGGCAAACCACCTGAATACTAAGGTAGAATAATATGAATATGTCAGACGAATACCTGGCCATCAGGTCCTTGAGGTTCCAGGACGGAAAACAAATGTTCCCAGGAGAAATTTGACGTCGGCTCTTCTCTAATCGGTGCAGATGTGAGATCTGAAATAATTTTATTTTAACAGTATTACAATTAATTCTACTTAGTATATTTCACAATGTTTTTTAGAAATAGTACGACGCCTCGGAAAGCAGAAACACAGTATTCTTTTGCTTATAGTATCAATGTCAAGACCATAATCATCCTTGTTAAGTATCGAAAATAAAATATTTGAGGTTTTGAAGTTCTAAAAGGTACAGCAACCCATGCTTGTCGTAAAAGGCGACTGACGGGATCGGGTGGTCAGGCTCGCTGACTTGGTTGATGCATGTCATCGACCCCAATTGCGTGGATCGATGCTCATGATGTTAATCAGTGGATTGTCTGGTCCAGACTCGATTATTTACAGACCGCCGTCATATAGCTGGAACATTGGTGAGTGTGGCGTTAAACAACAAACCAACCAACAAAAAGGTACATGCTATTTTCAACACATTGCTCGGACATTTCATATTTGTGTATTATATCATTAACGCCTAACCTCTTGAATATATTGTATATTAGAGTATCATATCATCAAAGCAACCGCGTGTTAACATTGTATATCGGCGTATCACATCATTAACGTAACCTTTGGTATACACTGTAGACCCGTGAAGATACGGGGTAGAATATCACCACAGCAACCCAAGCTTGCGTACAAAGCGACTATGCTTGTCGCAAGAGGCAACTAACGGGATCGGTGGTCAGGCTCGCTGCCTTGGATGATGCATGGCATCGTATCACAATTGCGTGGATCGATGCTCATGATGTCAGTCACTGGATTGTCTGGATTTGACTCAATTATTTACAGACCGCCGTCAAACTGCTGGAATATTGCTGAGTGCGGCGTTTTAACAACAACAACAACAACAACAGCAAAAAAGAGCATACATTATATTTTGGTGTATCACGTCATTAACGTAACCTCTTGTATACATTGTATTGGTGTATCACGTCATTAACGTTACCTCTTGTATACATTGTATTGGTGTATCATGTCACTGATGCGTAACACACACTCTGACTGAGGTATATCCACTCACCTCTCGATGTTTCCGTTAAGCCTTGAAATCGATCTTGAACCCATGGCGTGTCTTTGAATGCGTAACTCTTGCCCCGTCCTGTTTTGTCCCTCCTCCCCGTCCGGTCCGACCTCCTTGTCCAGTCTGACCTGCCGGACCTCCCTGTCCGGTGGGAGGTGTCGCTCACCTGGGATGCAGCATCAGACAAGGTGTGTGGGGAGTACGCCTGGTAGCGAGAGGCACCATAGCTTGACTTTGTCGCCAGTCCACCGAAGAATAAACTTCGGAAGGCCCCGTCACTGAAATCGAGTACAATCCAAAATAAGGTAAAAGTTGAAAACCCCTCACCAGTCCATTTGAAGTGTCACATTTAGTGGCTTGTGTCTCTTGTCTGCTATATTTCCTGTCATGATATTGCTCGAATATTGCTAAAACCCAGTAAGATATTCCATGGAAACTGGGAACGGATGGCCCAGTCGATACGCGCAACAATTCTCCGTGCATAATTGCTTTACTTGGTTATTCCAGAAACCTATGATTGTGTCTTCGAAACCCAGATTCGCTCCGAATAGGTTTGTCAGCACCATACCCGTGCTCGTGGGTTTCACCAAACTGGTCAACGTCTGAGACCTGCATCACTTCGGGCTACCTCCAACATCAGGCTGACACGCCATGGTATAAATTAAATACTGTTCAAAGCAGAGTTAAAAAATCTCACTCATTCTGCTGCCTCTACAACAACCACAGCGACAGCTGTTACGACCGCTACCTCCTAGTTTGACCATTCCTATCAACAAAATACTGATTATTAGCCCTAAAGTGAGTGAGTGAGGTGGGTTTAGCGCCGCTTTGAACAATATTCCAATTATATCACAGCGTGTCAGCTTCATGTGGGAGGGAAGCCCCAAGTGATGCAGGTCTCAGACGTTTACCACTTCGGTGAAACCCATGAACACGGGTATGGTGCTGACAAACCTAGAAACATAATCGGGGCGAACAGGGATTCCAACCCACAATTATAGGTTTCTTGTGTTGACAACGTTAACTGCAGAGTGCTTTGCGGCGCCTCAGACGACTGTGCCACACGTGCCTGTATCTTAGGGTCTGTCTCTGTCTGCATGAATGAAAACATAACTACTGATGTATAATATTGTATGTAAAATGATTTGTCTGTTTCTCAGGACACCTTCCTGTGAGAGACGCTTTCTAACGCTAATATCTACACGCAAAGTCATGCATCTATGAAAGCAAGTTCAGCGGTCAAAGGTAGTTTTAAATCCACCAATTACAATACCGCAATGCATCACACAGTAAGTGTAACATGCCCTATCAAATAAACCTAATAAAACAGGAGCCAAATAAATAAATGAAAGGTTTGACATGTATGTGCTGAGTCCAAGGTGGTCGCCAATATTATGGGATCGGGAAATGAATTTGATCTTGAATACAGGATAATGACAAAAACAACATGACCTGCGCGACATGAAATCATTGCAAGAGCACACTGGTTTTCTTGTGTATGTCTAGTTCTCTTTGTTTGTTTGATGTTTAACGCCGCACTCAGCAATATTCCAGCTATTTGACGACGGCCTGTAAAAAATTGAGCCTGGACCAGACAATCCAGGGATTGATATCATGAGCATCGATCCAATTAGGATACGATGACTTGCATCAGCCAAATCAGCGAGCCTGACCACCCGATCCCGTTAGTCGCCACTTACAGGCATAGTCGCCATGTTCCACAAAGAAAACTTAGCGCTAAGATGATCGTTACTACCATACTTTAACACTGACGCAAGATCGCTTTGTGAAACGAGGCCCTGAACCTTGGTCTGTCAGAAGTAACACGAGTTCAAGGGTTCACCAAAGTGATTAACGTCACTCTGGACTTACAATTGACTCTGCTTTATGCAGAGATTTCTATTGGATGTGGAACAAGTTTTGTCGCTATATTTTCTCCCTAAGCAATTGCAACTAGCTGTGAATTAACTGTTCAAGAGGCGTTGAAACCCAACGTACTCACTCTAAAAGAGTGTACCAATAAACTAGACCTGGCCCACGCTTACCGATCCTCCGATGATGGTGGCAGCAGGGAGTCTCGCCTTCGTCGACGTCGCCTGCGGCAACAGCAGAAGACGAGGACGGCGACAACGAGCGCTAAGAGGATGAAGATGGGTATGGACAGGCCAAGCGCTAGTGGGAGAACTGTAACAGAACGATACCATGAACGGAGAGGCAGGATAATATACCCCGAAAACTGAAAGTAAGGCCATCACATGGCCCCATCGGGGTCTCACTCTCTCTCTCTCTATCACTTTCCCTCACCTCTATTCCTGTCTCCCTCTCCTCTCACTACCCCTGCTTCTCTCTTCCTTCCCGTCTGTCTTTCTCTCCCTTCCCAAATCTGACTGTCCCTTCTCTCTCCCTACCCCTGTTTCTCTCTCTGTCGCCCTACCTTCTCTCTCTACTCCTGTTTCTCTCTTCATATCTTTCTGACGTCTGTGCCTCTCTCTACACCCTTTTCCTATGTCTCTGACGCTCTCTATTCCTGCTTCTCTCTTCCTTCCCGTCTGTCTCTCACCTTCCCTTATCTCTATGTCGCTCCTCCCCTTTCTCTCTCTACCCCGGTTTCTCTCTCTTCCTATACTCAGTTCCTTCCCCTCTCTCTACTCCGGTTTCTCTCTCTCTCTCTCTCTGTCGCCCTACCTTCTCTCTCTACTCCGGTTTCTCTCTCTCTCTGTCGCCCTACCTTCTCTCTCTACCCCGGTTTCTCTCTCTCTCTGTCGCCCTACCTTCTCTCTCTACTCCGGTTTCTCTCTCTCTCTGTCGCCCTACCTTCTCTCTCTACTCCGGTTTCTCTCTCTCTCTCTCTCTGTCGCCCTACCTGCTCTCTCTACTCCGGTTTCTCTCTCTTCCTGTCTGTCGTCCCACCCTCTCTCTCCCTCTGTCGCCTCTCTCTTTCTCTCTCTATCGCCTCCCCATTCTCTCTGTCGCCCACCCTCTCTATCCCACTGCCACCTTTCTCTTTCGCCCCTCCACGCTCTTTATCTGTCGTCCCCCCCCCCTCTCTCTCTCTCGCCATCATCCTCTCTCTCTCTCACTCTCTCTCCCTCCCTCTTGTTCTCACTTTGTAAATCAAATCGAAATAGGGGAAAAAAGAAAAATGAAACAGTGCGACTTAACCTGTGCATTCATTGCCTGTGCCGAAGTAGAGGTAGGGGCAGGAACAGGTGAAGGATCCCTCGGTGTTGTCACAGTGGTATTGACATGTGTGCTGGGCGCTGGATAGGCACTCGTTGCGATCTGGAAATAATGGGGGGATAACCTACGACCAACGAAGTGAGGATTATCTGTGACGAGTGAAAAACCTTTGTAAGTCCTTTGCCTTGGCAAGACTTTAACAACAATATTTCACGAGAAACAGATAATCGGTAATTTGCGAGAAACTTATTTCACATATTACTCAGTTAGAAAAGTGGAGCAGAAAGACTGATTATTCTCTGGCGATGACGTTTTCATCAATAATAATTCTCCTTCGGTGAATACGGCAAGCTTCAACAGTAGACGATGTCACTTATAGCACTCACCAGCACAAGCAGAACCACTGGTTGGTCTCCCGAACCCAGGATTACAGTCGCACACATAGCTACCGTTTGTGTCGCGACACACCTCTTGAGTTTCGGTACAGACAGATGGGGTGGCTGAACACTCGTCGACGTTAGTCTCACAGTTGGTGCCTGTCCAGCCTGTATTGCACGTGCAGGATCCATTGACCGAGTTGCAGGACACTGAGTTCCCGGATATGCATGTGCATGCGTTTTCACAGTTGGTGCCATAACTTGTCGAATTGCATGCTGAATCAAAACAAATATATTGTACTTTTCGAATTCTTATCTTTTTTCAAACATCTTTATATTGGGATTGGTTTGAAATTTTACAGTTATCATTTCCAAACTGTAAAAAGTCCCTGTCTTACATAATTAGAGGTACGGTATTAGATGATGTCACTTATAGCACTCACCAGCACAAGCAGCAGCAGTGGTTGGTCGCCCGAACCCAGGATTACAGTCGCACACAAAGCTACCGTTTGTGTCGCGACACACCTCTTGAGTTTCGGTACAGACAGATGGGGTGGCTGAACACTCGTCGACGTTAGTCTCACAGTTGGTGCCTGTCCAGCCTGTATTGCACGTGCAGGATCCATTGACCGAGTTGCAGGACAATGAGTTCCCGGATATGCATGTGCATGCGTTTTCACAGTTGGTGCCATAACTTGTCGAATTGCATGCTGAATCAAAACAAATATATTGTACTTTTCGAATTCTTATCTTTTTTCAAACATCTTTATATTGGGATTGGTTTGAAATTTTACAGTTATCATTTCCAAACTGTAAAAAGTCCCTGTCTTACATAATTAGAGGTACGGTATTAGATGATGTCACTTATAGCACTCACCAGCACAAGCAGCAGCAGTGGTTGGTCGCCCGAACCCAGGATTACAGTCGCACACAAAGCTACCGTTTGTGTCGCGACACACCTCTTGAGTTTCGGTACAGACAGATGGGGTGGCTGAACACTCGTCGACGTTAGTCTCACAGTTGGTGCCGATCCAGCCTGTATTGCACGTGCAAGATCCATTGACCGGGTCACAGGATGCTGTGTTGGGGAACACACACGTGCACTTGCTGGCACAGTTGAACCCATATGTTGGTGACGTGCATTCTGAACGGATATGAGTCGCATGCAGTTAAGTATAAGGTAGTTAATATAAAACCAATTTATTTTTATATAATTTAATATTGATTTCGTTAATTGAGGTTGACGAGTGGGAGAATGCTGTCACGCAGCTATATCACAGCGGCCTTTAAATGTTTGAATGTTGGTCAGTCCAGTGTTTGACAGCATGTACACCTATTTATGCCTTTTGAACACGCCTCACTCTCACCCTACTTTAAGCCTGTTAGGCAATATCCCAAGGGACAGCTGAGATTCCAATGGGAAGGCATGCAAATTGGATGATCAGAATCAATGTACATATTTTTGGCCAAATATTTCTTTCACGACAACACTTGAATTTTGAGAAATGAACAGAATTATGTTTCACAACAAAATGATTTTATTCCAACGTTTCTGAACAAGTTGGCCTAAAACACCAAATATGCTGAAACATTTGAAAAATGCATAGTGGATTTGGACTCTTGATAAATAACAAGTGATTGGAAGCTTATGTCCAGGTATGACAACACGAATGAGGATTCAAACTCAGACAACATTATTGCTATGTTATTGCCCTCAGACCTCACTGTCACATACAAATTTATTGTTTTCTGTCAGTTCGATAATTTTGTTTTCACTATTCCACTATTCCACTTTGGAAAACTTCAAAGTTGGAGTTATGGATGAACATTACAGGTGAGCTTCATTCCTCTTTGTGTCTCACATGGAACTGTACTAAAAAATACCCAACGATGTTGATTATACTGCATCAAGACTCACCGACACATGTTGAACTTTGGGATGACTTCCATAACCCAGGGTGACAGTCACACACAAAGCTGCCGGATGTGTTGCGACACACCTCAGTGTCTGTACAGTTGTGGAGATCTTCTGAACACTCGTCCACGTCAGTCGAACAGTTGGTGCCGTTCCATCCTTCCTTGCACGTGCATGATCCATTGATCGAATCACAGGAGTCTGTGTTGGCGAAATCGCAAGTACAATCTTCTGCACAGTTGATGCCATATGTTATACTGGTACAAGCTGAAACAAAAGCAGAATCAATAAGTTTACTGGATATGTCGGTACAAGGACATCAGGATCACCTGGCGCATTAGGTGACCTCGAACAAGCCTGTTCATGGTCAGCCTAAGGCCTAAAGTCTGTCATGATATAGCTGGAATATTGATGACTAAGCATTGCTGTAGACGGAATACACTATCTAAGCATTACTTGTACCACTATCTGTACTTACGTATGCAGCCGCCTTTGGTCCGTATATATCCTTTATTACAGGTACATGAATAGGAACCGTTCCTTTCGCCACACGTGCCGTTGGTGCCGCAGATGGGGGAGTCGTCGGCACATTCTGGTACGTCCTCCGTGCACGTCGTTCCATTCCATCCAGTCCTACATGTACAGCTGCCGTCAGTTGCGTTACAGCTGATGGTGTTGGTGGCGTCGCAGCTGCAGTTCTCAGTACAGTTGGCGCCATACGTGCCGTCAGGGCATGCTGAGGAGCATACGAAACCATGCACTAACTGTCCTTCTCATAGATATCATTGTTAGGATTCCGGGCCAACAGGCCTACAGAACCCAATGCTTGTCGGAATAGCGGGCTTTAAAGGGGATTCTGTGGCTTTGCTGATTGCGTGACATTGTACCTATATTACGTTAATTAGTGGTTTGCCAGGTCCAGACTCAGATATACAGGCCGTGGTGAAATAGCTTGAATATTGCTGACTGCGGCGTTTAACAATACTCACCCTCTCTCATTGACCGAACCGAAACGAGAGTTACTCTGACAAAGAGAAAAATTACACAAAAAACACCATTTGTGAAAAATATAATTTCCAAATCTGAACAAGTGTACGTCTTTTACATACTTTCACAAGTTGCCATGTCAGCAGCGAACTGGAAGCCATCACAGCAGGAACAAGTGTACGTATCTTACATACCTTCACAGGTTGCCATGTCAGCAGCCAACTGGAAGCCATCACAGCAGGAACAAGTGTACGTCTCTTACATACCTTCACAAGTTGCCATGTCAGCAGCGAACTGGAAGCCATTATAGGAAGAGCAAATGTACTTCGTTCACATACCTTCACAAGTTGCCATGTCAGCAGCCAACTGGAAGCCAACAGAGCAGGAACATGTGTACGTCTCTTACATACCTTCACAGGTTACCATGTCAGCAGCCAACTGGAAGCCATCACAGCAGGAACAAGTGTACGTCTCTTACATACCTTCACAAGTTGCCATGTCAGCAGCGAACTGGAAGCCATCATAGGAAGAGCAAATGTACTTCGTTCACATACTTTCACAAGTTGCCATGTCAGCAGCGAACTGGAAGCCATCACAGCAGGAACAAGTGTACGTCTCTTACATACCTTCACAGGTTACCATGTCAGCAGCCAACTGGAAGCCATCACAGCAGGAACAAGTGTACGTATCTTACATACCTTCACAGGTTACCATGTCAGCAGCCAACTGGAAGCCATCACAGCAGGAACAAGTGTACTTCTCTTACATACCTTCACAAGTTGCCATGTCAGCAGCCAACTGGCAGTCATCAGAGGAAGAGCAAATGTACTTCGTTCACATACCTTCACACGTTGTCTTGTCAGCAGCCAACAGGAAGCCAACAGAGCAGGAACATGTGTACGTGCCAGCAGGTGAGTTCGTACAGTTCTGCGAACACGTTGTATTCACGTCACACTCGTCAATGTCTGTTGGTAAAAAGAACGTGTTGTAACGACGATCATCAATTAAGGTATCGAGGCAGTGTTTGTCAATGCTTTGTTTGTTGCCTTACGTCGCACCTTAGACGGTTCTTAGCACGCACGCACGCACGCACGCACGCACACACACACACACACACACACACACACATTCGGGCATGGAGCAGGCAAACCAGTGATTGATGTAATAGGTAACGTCTCTTGTCCGAATTCGATTACATTCAAGTCCCCGAGTCTGACCCCAGGTCCATTTAGTCGCCAAGCATATTTTAATAATTTCACAATTACACCAATAACACACGAATATTTGTGACCAAGCTTTACAAATGTCTCAACAATTGGTATTAACGAAATGACACAACATGCCCAAGCCTCTGGGATTAATGACTACAACAAGAGTATCGAATTGCTCTACAAACATATTCCTTTTCAGTTTCGTCGGTAGCATTCTCAGTGTCATAATTCTGAAAACTGGATTCAAAAGATGAAAGAACATTCAGCAAATACCCGAGGCATCTGCATCACAAACATTGTACACGTACCATCACAGGTTGTGTTGTCGGCGTCACTTAGCTGGTATCCTGTGTTACAGAAACATATGTCTATTCCTCCTTTAACACGACAACCACCGTTGGCGGAGCAGTCTGTTCTGTTGCAAGTCGTAGCTCCAGGTTTCACTGCGTAATAAAGACACGGACCACTTGAGGTGTCTGAATTAAGGCGATAAACGTTTGTCCTTATGGAGATATAACTTACTTGGAACAGCAGACAATACAATAAAAAGGCCAAGTGCTTTATGAGTCAGAAATGAGAATAATGTTTGACGTCACGTAAATATTTGAATCGGGAAAACCACTCCTTCATTCTGTGAGCAACGAGGTAAGTACACTGTAGCACCCCAATACCAATTGATAATAATATCAAATGAATTTAATTATGAAGCTTGCAGAGACCTCTGCGCCGCATATACTTCACATTAGTTTTTAAATTTGACTATATATATATGCATAAACCGAGAAATACGTTCATTGTCATAACAGGACAGAGATGTGTCCCTCTGCCGTGTCAAGATACGTGGATCGTATGCTTAAATCCTCGACTCGCCCTTATTATAATAATTGATCTGACGGGAGTCACCTTGCTCGTGGGTTTCACAAATATGAAAACTCCATCACTTCTGGGATTACACCACATTCTGTTGCAACGCTGCGATCTTATTAAAAATAGGTTACATCGGCATGACACTGACTCACAAACTGGTTTATAAACTCACGTGTGCACTTTCTCCTTTCTTTGGTGAGTTGATATCCATCGTAGCATTCACATGCATAGCCACCTTGTGTGTTCCTGCACTTGTGATCACAAGCATGCGTTCCCAGACTGCACTCGTTGATATCTGCCATAGAACACCACAGCATTGTTGACAGTCGTATGGTGGTGAGGTGAAATGGGATTAGGAGGCGTTCAGATTATTGCTTAGTTTGTTTTTTAACGCAGCACTCAGCAATAACATATCAGCTGTATGACGATGGTCTGTAAATTATCGAGTCTGAACCAGACAATCCAATGATTAACGCTATGAGCATCGATCCACGCAATAAGGATACGATGACATGCATCAACCAAGTCAGCAAGCCTGACCATTTCGATTCCGTTAGTCGCCTTTTACGACAAACACAGTCGCCTTTTACGGTGAGCATGCTTGCTGAAGACCTATTCTAACCCTTAAGATTATTGCACTTATATGTATGTGTGTGTGGCTGCTGGTACTAGTCCGGACTAATGCCGATATCATAGCTCCATCCTACTGAGATACCATGCCGCAGTTTAACATTAATACCCGACTCAGACACAGTATACTGACTCCGAGCCGAACTGTTCTTGTTTTAGCCCCTTAATGCCGAGCGTCAGGCAGGGTAACAACAAGTACCATCTTTTAACGTCCTTTGGTATGACGCGGCCGGGGATCAGACCCCGACCTTCCGCTCTCTGAATGGACGCTCTACAGCTGGACCACAGCTAATTCACAGCTAGACCACGGAGACGGTCCTGACATTAATATGGAGGAGCAAATATTTTTCAATATCAGTTGTGGGTATGAATTGTAAGTTATATTCTTATGGTCATGTGTCTTTGATCACATTCACATCAAACGATTCGACCGATGATCGATCAAAAAACAACACTGAAAGCCTTAATAAGGCCTTCTTAATCCTGCAATGCATTGAATGATGCAACTCTGCTTATTGATAATAAGCAGGTTTGTTGGTATTTTGGGGAACTCTGAATCTGTATATATGGATCTAAATGTGAAACATATGAGGCGGCTACCTGCTCCCTTTTATGGCTTCACCCAATGGTTTTAGTTCTAGTTTAGATGGGTTATTAAGTGGAAAGAAATTATCTATGTGACCACTATTAAAGATATTACATCTTCGATATATCGAGTGAGTAAGTATGGTTTAAAGCCGCTTTGAGCAATATTTCAGCAATATCACGGCGGGGGACACCAGAAATGGGCTTCACACATTGTACCCGTGTCGCGAATCGAACCCGGGTTTTCGGCATGACGAGCGAACGCTTTTCACCACTAGGCTACCCGACTGCCCCCATAGACATAAAGAAGGGGAGCACAATTGGTGCCCATTGGGGTGTCTACTTCCGGTGGAGTTCTGGTCAATGCCATACGGCTTATAACCTATGGATTTACACAATATCGAACCTGACATGAATTTATGTATGATGCATCAACAACTATATTTAAACTAATTTAAATAAAGAGAGTATATTAACTGGCATAGTGGCGGATAACGAGCACTCATTATTGAGTGTATATTCCTGCTGGAGTAACCGACAAATTCAGCCTTTAACCTGTTTTTTGTTGTCAAGGGCTAGCAGCGCCACTGGGTCTGCATTTTCATTTCCATGAATGTCTATGAGAAGCGGGATCCAACAAAGCTCTACCCGCTTCCCTTGATCCGATGGTTTAGTATGTTCATGCATTTAGAAGAGATACATATAAGGAAGATAAGTTATGGATGTCAACTTCTTTATTATGAGGAACACAATGTTTCGGATTCACTTGATGAAGGAGTATCAATCAATCTTTATTCATGGTACTTATGAGGCCAAAGGCCTATAGTACAATGTGTGGGGCGTGTTACAAATTCATACATTTTCTTAGTTTCATGGCATGATAAATGAACATTGATAGATTTCTAATAGTTTCTGTACAATCACAAGTAATTAATTTACAAAATTTGTTACCGTTTGGGTTGCGGTAGAAATAGTTATTTAGATATTTTGCTCTTAAATCTTCATACACTGGACATACACATAAAAAGTGATATTCATCTTCATCTTCAGTACAATCAGTACATGAAGGAGTAATGGTACTTCGAAACGTTGTGTTCCTCATAAAAATGAGATGACATCCATAAATTCTTTTTTTCATTTTCATGTAGGTAACAGCTAGGAGATTTTCTGTGTAATCAGCGATATAGTTTGTTGTTCTAAACTATCTGACCTTTGGGACATCTGACTAATGGTAGCACACCGAATAATCACCAGCCTTAATAATGAAATTGAAATTGAATAATGAAGGCAGAAGACTCTGAATCTCACCATTGCAGGAGCCCTTGCCTTCCTTGATAAAGCCAGGCCTGCAGCTGCACAGATAGCTCCCTACAGTGTTCCGACAATCCTGATCACAAAGATTGTCTGCAGCCTCCGAACACTCGTCAATATCTGAGGAAGAAGCATGGTGCATTTTAATAATAACCTTGATTGGAATTATAGTACCTTGGTCCCCAATATTTTTCAGTTAAACACAGAGCTCCCGAAAAGCGTATATTGCGCAAAACAAATCAGCATTAGCCAAGTGATTTTGAGTTGTGTACAAATACGCTTGAAACCCCCCCCCCCCCCCCCCCCCCACACACACACACACACATAAAACAAACAAAACAACAGGCAAAATCAACAAAAAAATAAATAAAATAAAACAAACAACAAACCAAACAGAAACAAGCAAAATCAAACCCAAAAAAACCCCCAAAAACAAACAATAGTATAACAACAATGCATATTTACCCACTGTATCCTTTTCAACTAGCGTTCCTGTATTTCTTTATAGATCTTTGTTTACAAGCAAAACTCATGAAGTTTGAACTGCAGTGAATAATGCATGAATCCCGCTTATTGTTAATTAAGTGGTAAACTGGCCTACATCACCAGTTCGGCGTCAAACAACAAACAAACAAAACAATCATTAAGCTGACTCGCCGTCATATAACTGAAGCACTGTTCTGAGGTAAATTCACCTACAACCCCGTAACGACCCGTGAAGATCCAGGTTATTTTTTTTTTTTAGGAACCCGTGCTTGTCGTAAGAGGCGACTAACGGGATCAGGTGGTCAGGCTCGCTGACGTGGTTGATGCATGTCATCGTATCCCAATTGCGTGGATCGATGCTCATGATATTAATCACTGGATTGTCTTGTCCAGGCTCGATTATTTAGAGACCGTCGTCATATAGCTGGAATATTGCTGAGTGCGGCGTTAAGCAACAAACAAACAAACAACCCCACAACATTGGTCTGTTTCACTGTCAACAGAGCTTAGCACTGGTCACACTTCAGACTTACCTTCACAAGCACTGGCATTAGCGGAGAGCCCGTAGCCTGTGCGGCATATGCACCTGTAAGACCCAGGGGTGTTGAGGCAGTCGGAGATGGCCAGACATGTCGCCGTGGAGGTACACTCGTCGACATCATCCTGGCACTTGTCCCCTGTCCACCCTTGGTTACACACACACCCCTTGACCTTGTCACACCGCTTTGTCCCCAGGGGTTCACAGTCACAGTTGTTGGAACAGCTCTCACCCCAGTGGTACTCATCGCAGGCTGCGACAGAAAACAAATACACCTGTACACTTATTTGTGAGTGTCTGAGATGGGTTATTACCGATTTGAACAGTATTGCAGTTATATCACGGCGTGTCAGCTTAATGTGCGAGGAAAGCCAGAAGTAACGCAGGTCTTAGACATTTACCACTTTGGTGAAACCAACGTGAACGGGTATGGTGCTGACAAACCTAGAAACATAATCGGGGCGAAGCAGGATTCGAACCCATAATCGTAGGTTTCTTCACAGCAGATTGCGGCGCCTTAGACGACTGGGCCACCCGTACACTTATTGGAACAACAAAAGCCCTTTAGTCCGCAAAGCCTGCTTCGACTATTGGGAACATCAAAATATAATTAAGGAATATTACCACGCCAACATATTCGTTAATAGCGAGATGTGTTATTCTGGACGATTACCCGGCAAAATATCACATCTATATGATGGCGGCCTGTAAATAATCGAGTCTGGACCTGACAATCCAATGACTTACATAAGCGTCGATCCACGCAATTGGGATACGATGACATGAACCAACCAAGTCAGTCAGCCTGACCACCCGATCCCGTTAGTCGCCTCTTACGACAAGCATTGGTTGCTGAAGACCAATTCTAACCCAGATATTCACGGGTCGATTACACGGGTAATGATATCCGAATTAACGAGGTTTCACAGTAATTGAGAACTTTTGGCATATGTTTTTTCATTTTTTACATATATTATGCACAACTATATACATGTATATCTTAACGATGGTTGATTGACAAACATGTCGCTCTTGTATTCGAGATTACGAGATATTTTGATCTATTTTCAGAACTTACAAACGCATGTTCGGCCATTGTTGTCAAGCCTTGAACCAGCTGTACACCTGCAGGTGTACGACCCTGGGGTGTTTGTGCAGGTGTCTTTGTTCGTACACAGGTTAAGTGTGTCATCAGAACACTCATCGATGTCTGCAGAAATACAACAAACAGTGTGTAACAAGCATTTAACGTTGTCATCATAACAGCAAGATATTGTCACTTCAAGATAACATAAACAAGCCATTATAACTTCAATGTGAGAACGCTTAACATTTCTTCTGTAAAGATCATGCAGTAGAAAAGATCATGCAGTATGTGTCGAGGAAGACCAGGTAACAAACAATTCAAACGTTGTATTCAAACTGGAGCGACCGAGATCCACACAGCGTCACGCCCAATTCCCTTGTATCGTTGCTGGTGAACTTCTTCCAAAGCTAATTCTATGTCACAGTTCGTAAGTTTGAAAGTTTACTTTGCACACTAAACAATTTTATGTTGAGAAGATGAATATGTGTTTAGAAACTTTCACAATAGAAGAATGCATGTATTCTGTATTTTGGGTACTTGAGCCATGCAATACAGAGAGAATCGAATGTTCAAACGACATAATTTTTACGCCGTACCTAGTATTTACACTTTGTTTTAATCTACTACTATTGATATTTTAATGACATTATGAAACAGGGAAGATCACCGCAGTCGATGACATACAAAATGCCTGCAGAAAACGGTAACTACAACGTCAAGCCTACTGTCAATCTGACAGACAGCCGGGCTCAATAGTTGCATGAATCGTCTCACCTGTGCATGTTTGAAGGTCTGATCCGAGGAAGTAGCCTCGGTTGCACCGACAAACAGAGTTTCCGTCCACCACGGTGCAGTAGTGAGTGCAGTTCAGCGTCAGGCCTTCACAGGGGTCTGTCTCATCAAGATCTATAATGTTACACAGAGTCATTTTTTTTTATAACATTGGTGTTTCTGGTAACATGCCCTGGCAAAGGCGGGTCGGTTGGCTGGCAATATTTAATCTATTAATTTTAATTTTAAATCATAATTGTTTTAACGACATATATTCGCAATTTATTTCGCGATAATTTTGTATGGACCGGAATGATTTTTCGGTTGCAGCAATGTGCAGTTGAAATACATGGGTTACTTTAAACATTAATAGTCCTATATACTTATGTCATGTAATAATTAACCTCGGTATGTTATGAGTGAGTGAGATGGGTTTAACGCCGCTTTTAACAGCATTCCAGTTATATCGCAGCGTGTCATCTTAATGTGGGGGGAAAGCCCGAAGTGATGCAGGTCTCAGACGTTTCCACTTCGGTGAAACCCACGAGCACGGGTATGGTGCCGACAAACCTAGAAACATAATCAGGGAGAACCCACAATCATAGGTTTCTGGCGTGCCCAAGGAACGCAACTCTGCATAGCGCCTTAGACGACTGGGACAAACGTGCCCCTCGGTATGTTATGATGGGTGAGAGCCTATCTGTAAACTCATCATTACATATGCTATACAAACAGACATATAATGATTACTAAAGTCATTAGGAAGAACTTGGTTTTTTGTCTTCGAAAGGAGGGGCCATTTTATGAATAATGGACCCATTATGTAGTTTAGACATCCGGTGAAGAATTCGTGTTTTAAACCAGAGGCAAAGAGGACAACTACCAAACAGAGTTTAATGCCATCTGCGATGGTCACCTTTAGTGCACGTCCTCCTGTCGTCGTTGAGGGTGTGTCCAATGGCGCAGTAACAGTTATAGCTGCCGTTCTTGTTGACACACGAGTGTTCACAGTTAGCCTGGCCGTTGTCACACTCGTCAATGTCTGGAGCAGATACACATTTTTTGATAACACCCTGTCCTGTTGGATATTCATACACATGTACATGCACAATCAAACGCATTGAACCTCACTTAGCATTCAGCATCAGTATCAACATATGGGACAGTCATGCACCACCATAATCACTGAATATCATTGAATCATAATTATCATTTAACAAATGAGTATCAACATAAACATGAGAAATGCATACACCACCATTAAACTGAAAATCATCGAACCATTCGTGCATCATCATAATATCCAAAAACCACACTTGCATTAAACATGCAAGCATCGTCAGAATAATTCAATTTTAAACATCACCCAATACCATGTCGAGCTAACCATAATGAAAGAAGGATGTTTCTCAATCAAGAATTCTACATAAATCATGAAATGAATTTATTATCAGCGTAATCACGAATATTTTTAAATGTTGAAAAGTTTCTTTCTAAGCAAGTGCGGAAACACTTTGGTGGTGTAAAAAATATCAACTGGAACGTTTACTTGCAAAAACAAAATCAGCACCTTCACCGTAAGTTCCCCAAAGCTCCCCAAATCGTAATATACTATGTAGTTTCCGTCCGAAATCAATACTTCCAGATGTTGCCCTATTCAAGAACAACTTCTTAAGATCAAAGTTCCAAGACTGCGCAAGTACAAGCAGGAGTAACCTCGAAGACGACCTTGCCCTTTGATAGACATATCACCAACATTGCCTGCGGTACTATTTGTAAAATCAAAAATGCAAACCTGAAGTGTAGGGGAACCAATGCCTCAGAAACTGATAATGGTTTACAAAAGACTGAGCGTTGACTATTGACTCATGTTGACCCAAACCTTTCCAAAACAGGGCCTAATTCTTTAGGAGGTATATATAGTTTACCGATAAATGCACTGATAATATTTGAGAATGTATAACCACAAACGTTTTATTGAGAACTTCCTGTCTTGTGACTTTTACCTTCTCATAACATGTGCCAAACGAAACCCCCTAGGTCATGGAAAAATAATATCTAATTTCAATGATCTTTGAGTAGTAGCTATTAGAAAAATCACCGACTGTGGTGGCGGCGGTCAAAATCTAACAAAACCCAATTGTTTTCCCATTGTTAGGGGCTGCAAGGAATGTAAAACATACATCACAACCTTTTTATGAGAGAATGGTAACAACATGTAGTCTATTTCTTATAAACGTACAGAAATGAACTGATAATTCCAGTAATAAAGTCCATTCATGTCGCGCCTTATTCCATTCACCAAGTGAATGCTCATAGGACGACACTACTGTTACCCTGGAATTTGGATCAATTTTCACTTAAAATATACTCTCACCACTTTGTGAAGTATACGAATATAGAACGTCAACGCCAGAGAATCACCAGTCTCGATTATCCAACGAAACAGATTCCATTGGGTGTCAAAGGTACGTTCAAAATTATTTGAATGGATCACTAAAAAATCAGAGATGATACAATCCGTTGTATGAGACGGAAGAGGTCACAGAAGTTTACAGTCCCAATCTACTATTTTATCCTACCGGGTACCCATTAACTACTGGGTGAACAGAGGCATATTCCTAACAAAGACGCTTGCCTAAGGAGACATACATATTACCTGTGTTTCAATGTGGGACAGAATCGACGCCCTAGAAATACTCAGGAGTCAGTACACAGACCAACCACGTGCCACCAATACTACCCTCAACTCTGGTAATAGTAACAAGCAAAAACACAACTCAAACTTCAGAGGAGAGTAATCAATGTACGAACAAAAACACGCCAATCACAGTTAAAGTAGGGATGTTTCCTTACCAGAGCAAATATCACCATCTTTCTTGAAGCCAACATCACAGTCACAGGTGTAGGAGCCATTGACGTTGTTGCAGACGGAGTTGGCGGGGCAGGCTGTAGTATCGTCATCCTCACACTCGTTGATGTCTGAATTCAGAAGTACAACCATTGCACGCGTCAAGAGGTTTAAGTACAAATGACCTGATATTCACATTATAAATAAAATCTGGAACAAATGCGCATGATGAAGGACTGCAAGGAGTGCATGACATTGCAGACTCTGGACTAGAGAATGCGTGAATTAAAAACTCTCTTTGAAATACTTGGCCCCTCGTACCTAACAGTAAAGCGTGATTATCGTCATCTCAGGCTATACATCAGCATTTACTCCTACCTATACAGTCAAACCCATCCTCGGTGTAGCCTGGCGGACAGGAACATATGTAGGCATCTTCCGTGTCGTTACATATCTGTTTGGACCCACAGATGGTGAGGTTCATCTCGCATTCGTTGACGTTCCCGTCGCAGTTGACCCCTGTCTCCCCAGCCTGGCATAGACAGCCAAGGGCAGGGTCACACATAAAGCCTTGACCTTGACATTCGCACGTGAAATTGCATTCGACGCCCCATCTCGGAAAACCACATTCTGAAAATAATTGTCACATTGTGTTTGAAATGAATTCATTTATTAAAGGTACCAAAAACAGACAGGAACTTTAGGAGCTCTTTGAAAAGGGTGGCTAAAAGTGTTGGCTCGGCTTATTGGTTGAATGAATGTATATTCCTCGGTATATATAAATCAATATATTTTCGGGAAAGAGCGGGTTTCCAGCACTCCATGACAAGTATACTACTAAAACAAGTTGAGGACCAATCGATTCATAACACAATAGTTAATCTCCCATGACATATGAACTGTAGAAGTATGAAAGAATGGGGTGGCCCTTAACTATATTTTGGGTAGTATATAAACAATACTCGTTTGTTTGTCTGTGACCTGGATGCTTGTGCTATCAACCACTGGTTTTCCTAACCGATTGCATACAGGTCGATGTGTTTACCAGTATATTGCTAACATTCACACTCTCATTAAACACAAGTGTTTGCTAAGGAGACTATTTGTGTAGGGTACTCACTGAGACATGACTGCTTGTCTGATCCGAGTTTAAAGCCTGCGTTGCAGGAGCACGAGTAGCTGCCGTTGGTGTTGGTGCAGATCTGGGAGCATAGGTTGTTCTGACATTCGTCGATATCTAGCAACACGCAGTTCACACATCGAGAGCACGCTGGATGTAACGTCATTTAGAAGTGTATTTCAGTAATACCAAGTCGAATCCGATCAATGTGGGTCGAAATCCCAAATGACGAATGTCGTTGACTTTTGTGAATCACGAACACGGGAATGGTGTAGCCGGACCAAGGATCATAGTCGGGGCTCACCAACGATCAATCCTGGCACATCTAAGGGACGCAACTCGTCTCACTATTTAGGACACGGTACACCCTTGCGTCATTCTTGCGCACACTGAGCCTCCCTTGACAACAGTAGCGAGTGAGTGAGTGAGTTAGTTGGGTTTAACGCCACTCTAAACACAATTCCAGTTATATCACGGCGTGTCAGCTAAATGTTGGAGGAAAGACCAAAGTGATGCAGGTCTGAGACGTTTACCACTTTGATGAAACCCACGAGCACGGGTAAGGTGCAGACAAATCAAGAAACATAATCGGGAAGAACCGGGATTCGAACGCACAATCATAGGTTTCTGGCCTGCGTAAAGGACGTAAGATACGATTTGTGTCATATATACATCTGAATATTTACAGACCGCCGCCATATAGCTGGAATATTGCTGAGTGCGGTGTTAAACAACAAATAAATAAACAAATAAACAAAGAAACAACTACTTCTGATTACAACTGGTAGTAGTAATAGTAAAATAAGTAGACAAAGTCATCGATATCCCTGCAATGATAAATAGTTGTAGTGAAGATGTCAACTGGTGTATATCAATCATAAACTCGAAAAATCATCTATGTGTCAAGTTTGGTGAAGAAGTATTGTACGGTTTTCAAAATCTCCACTGGAAACGAAATCTTGCACGGACGGATGGGATGGGCGTTGACCATCGTAATGCCCCCGCAAAACGGGTTGCAGAGGGTAAAAAGGCCATGATAGTGATTTAAGGTGACAATTAACCTGCTTCTAAACTACCTATTAAGGTGCTTGATGTGTCAACAAAATATATTTGTAAAATAAGTTTCTCAGACGGAAATTTCTTGCAGTTCCAACAAGAACTATATTTTTCAACATTATTACCAGTATTAATCATGTTAACAGCCCCAGTTAACAGAATAAATGATCTTCGTACATTATCTCATCAGATTATAGGTCATAAATTGCTCCGTAGTGCTGAAATTGAATCCGTTATGATCAGGTACACCTACGTAAATTTTCAGCTCATTCGACAATACACCCTCTGAACAATATGTAACCAACAAGGATAGGATCTCCAAATCAAATCAAATGTTACTGGTATATAAAGTTGAACACATAATTGCACGTCTAAGAATTCTAAGCTCTACAAACGATCGTGCTGACATACCTATACATGTTGCATTGTCATCGCCAAGTTTATAGCCTGATTTACATGCGCACGTTCTGGCTGTGGTGTCACACACCTGGCTGCAGTTCAGGCTGTTACACTCTTTTGGGGCTAGAAAATATATGGTAATGACATTGTATTGAAGACTTGTTGAATAAGCATTTGGGATCCATGGAGGTTTACCCTGATCTTAGCTACAGTAGCCCCAGGGTGATTCATGGGAAGAAAAAGTCCCCAGTGTTCCACGTTTGTCGTAAGATCTGACTTCAGATGATCCGGTGGTTCATCCATGATTATCGAGTGGAATCTCAATTCAGTTATGATAAATGCCCTGGAACCAGTCGTCACTATACCTTTGTTTTGATCTGAGTCTTTGTGAGTGAGTGAGTGAGCTGGGTTTAACGCCGCTTTTAACACTATTCAAGCTACGTCACGGCGTGTCAGCTAAATGTGGGGGGAAAGCCCGAAGTGATGGAGGTCTTAGACGTTTACCACTTCGGTGAAACCAACGAGCACGGGTATGGTGCTGAAAAACCTAGAAACATATACGGGGCGAACTGGGATTCGAACCCACAATCATTGGTTTCTGGCGCGCCTAAGGGACGCACCTCTGCACAGCGAATCGCGGCGCCTTAGACAACTGGGCCACCCGTGCCCCCTTTGAGCTTTAGAATGGCACGGGCTAATAAAAGACGCCCGATCAAATGAGACTGTTCCTTCACGAATGAGACTGACAAGACTTTTAGTATTCGATTCGACTTTTGCGTGCCGTCACAAATACAACAGGAACTTCTTGTAGGGCACGGGTGAGTGGGTTGGATTTAACGCCTCTTTGAGCAGTATTCCAGTTATATCACGGCGTGTCAGCTTCATGTGGGGGGAGTGGACGAAGTGATGCAGGTCACAGACGTTTACCACTTTGGTGAAGCCCGCGAACACGGGTGTGGTGCTGACAAACCTATAAACGTTATCGGGGCGTACCGGGATTCGAACTTCTGGAGAGCCCACAGGCCGTCGTGATGAAGCTGGCCTATATTGTGGACTGCGACTTTGAACACCACACCACAAGAAGCGGGCACATTGTACGCCCATAGGCTTGACGCCTAGGGTCTTGTTGTGTGGGCCTCTTCGCGCCATGTAAGCGTGAGAATAGGGTTTAAATGAGGTGATGTGAGATGAGGTGAGTCGAAATGTGGTTGCGTCCAAGATTATTGCACTTAATTAGCGACGTTGCATGTGTTTGTGTGTGTGTGTGCCGATTTATAGTGCCAGCCCACTGAGATACCATGCCGCAGTTTAACATGAATGCCTCACCCAGACACTGTATACTGACTCCGAGCCGACCAGTCCTTGTTTTAGCCACTTAACACCGAGCGCCAGAAAGGGTAACAACAAGTACCATCTTTTAACGTCTTTTGTTATGACGCCGCTGGGAATCGAACCCCGGACCTTCCGCTCTCCGGGCGGTCGCTCTTCCATCAGACCACAGAGACGGTCGGCTTTCAATGAAAGCAATCAATGTACCAAATATCATGATGTACCACTCCTTTAATTTATTTTCATTGCCAGCCCACTGAAGATACCATGCCGTAGATTAACATGGATACCCCACTCAGACACAGCATACCGACTCCCAGCCGTCCAGTCCTTGTTTATCCCCTTAATGCTGAACGCATGCAGGGTAAAAACAAGTACCATCCTTGAAAGTTTTCTGGTATGACGCAGCGGGGGATCCAACCACCGACTTCCCATTCTCCAAAACAGACACTCTACATTGATATTACAAGAAAAACAGTTTTGTTAAATACAATTCAAACGAAGAATATCATTGTAAACATTTTGAAACTACTCACTTCCGTTACATGTTTTGTTGTCAGCGTCGAGGGTGTAACCGGGGAAACAGTCGCAGATGAAACCGCCGTCTGTGTTGTTGCATTTATGCTGGCAGTCATGGGACTCCTCAAAACATTCATCAATATCTGTAAATAGATTAGTTCGACGTTCATACTGACATGCAACACGAACATTAAAGGTCTTTTCAATTGCCATTTCCAAGGCTTTTAGGTTTTTAGCCTTAGTCTGTAAATATTTTAATAAAAATCCCTCATACTATATACTAGGAGTAAGATCTAAAAAGCAGTATCACCATCACAAACATTTCAACAAGATTTATTTTCCAACCAACAAAGAAACTGTCATTAATGCTTTGGCACACAAATCTATCACCGTGGGAACTTCACACTTAAACATCCTTGGTACACATTTTTGCCCGTTTTAATACTTTTGTTAACAAGTATATATCACTTTGAACAAATCCAAGGATTTTCAAACTAATTTTGGTGCTTTTCAAGGCTTTTCAAGGGTGACACAAAACATCTAGGCTTTTGAAGAATGACCTAAAATATTCAAGGCATTTTAAGGCCCGTAACACAGTTGGTTAAGACTGGGTGCCGTATTTCGTTTGGGCAGATCCATTTTTCACCTTCCCCTGTTGCTATATGGCTGAAATAATGCCAATGCGACGTAAAATTTTAACTCACTCACTGAACATGGCTAAACAAATTGTCGTGTGCTTTGCACGTGATTCTGTCAGTCAGTTGTGTTGAACTCCACTTTAAAAAAAGTATTTCAGTTATATCTGGCCTGTCAGCTTCATGTTGGAGGAGACGACCCGGGTTCGATTCCCGACATGGGTACAATGTGTGAAGCCCATTTCTGGTGTACCCCGCCGTGATATTGCTGGAATATTGCTAAAAGCGGCGTAAAACCATACTAACTCACTCACTATACTTGATACTGAAGCATGATCACTGCAGGGACCCAGCATACCCTGATTAGCAACATGTAACGTCGGCGTGACGAGCCAAGGTTTTGAGCATTAGGCCACTCCCAAACAATTTGACCTTGACTATTTCATTCTTATGTATTCCAGGGTATTTGCTTTGTGGATGAAAGTGTGGTTTTAATCCAAACCTGTTTCTGTAAACTATAGACTATAACAGGAACTCACCGTCACATTGTTCCTCACTGTTCTTCCTATAGCCAATTTCACATATGCAAATATAAGACCCGGGAGTGTCCTCACATCGTGAGTTGGCAGTGCAGTTCTGGCCTTGTACACATTCGTCAATATCTATAAAGAAATATTTGTATGAAATGTCAGTAGCTGGTGAAGGTGAGTGAGTGAGTGAGTTAAATTAACATCGCGTCGGCATTATTTCAACCATACAGCGACGAGAGAAGGTAGAAGAATCATTGCGTTGTTATGGAAACTAATACGTCAGCCTTGAAGACGCTCGTATATGTTACCATATCATCAATTTCAACTGATTTCAGAAATGCAGTAAATCTTTCCTGGACAGTAATTAAGGACCCAAATTAGATGAGATACAGATGAATCATAAGTTTCGAACAATCATAGGATTCTGACACGCCAAAGGGACGCAACTGTTAAAATATCGAATTGTGGCACCTTTGACGCCTGGGCCACCTTGGTCTGCATTTGAAACATGGGACTGATTTGTTTATCTGTTTTATTATTGGTTTCGCAGCAATATTAAAGCTATATGACGGCGGTCTGTAAACACATGCAAAACATCGCCCAACACCTACTTTTACACTCTGCCTGTGTCACAGTGTCGGATTCATATCCAAGTGAACACGGCGAGCACTTGAAGGCGTAACCGCTATTCGCTTCCTCTTCTGGGTCGACGTCCTGGCACGTACGGTTGTTGCAAACATTGTCTTCACATCCATTCTTGTCTTCGGAACAGTTTGCACCTGCACAGACAATCATCGAGTTGAAACACCACCCATGTACATGTTACTAATAAACAATGGTTCCTAATCAGGTCGATTCCGTAATTAGAACACACGATTAGTGATTCCTACGGAAAACTTTAAGGGCCATTTGTTTCTTTTCTTGAAATTTGAAGATAATAACTTGAAATTTCAACATAGCATTATGAAATTTCAAGATACTAAGTTGAAATCAATCAGATCTCATCATTCTGACATGGAGGTATAATAAAAAGAAATATCACCCCCCCCCCCCCCATCAAGTCTCACCTGTGTAGCCTGTGTCGCATGTGCAGATAACGGTTTGGAAGAGCGCGTCATTCTCAGATGTGGGGAAGACTTCCGGTGTGGAGTAGTCACACGTCCCATTAGGGCCACACCCTCGACAGTATCTTATTTCCACTTCAATAACAGGAGAATCGGCTCCATTAACATCTGTAGCGACAATTCTGGAATAATAATGAAAGCAGAACAATAACTAGGCTGTTCTCTATGACAGACTAATAATCGATAAATTTCATCTCGATTGGGAATTCTAAGGACTCTGACTAGGAAAAATTGGAATTTTCTTTCCCCCGTTTTTCATTGTGGTCATGAGTCTGTACGGTGTATATTCTCAGGACAGATAACCAGTAATTTTCATAGTACGCACATTATAAGTACAAGTGCTGAGATGTAGATAGTGTATTTTGAAATGGAACATTGCTTGGACGGCTTTCGGGGAACTTGACAGTTTGTTCTGTATTTTAGGCCAAATGCCTTCATTACAAACATAATGAAAACGTTATTCAGAGAATAAAGAGCCCACAACTGTAATACAGTAAACTACGGTTATAACGAACACGCTTATAACGAACTAACGGACATAACGAACTAACCTTTTAGTCCCTTTGAGTTCGTTATAACCGTAGTTTACTGTACCATCTAACTGTGCCAGTGTTTGTTTGTTTGCCGCACTCAGCAATATTCAAGCTATATGACGGCGGTCTGTAAATAATCGAGTCTAAACCAGACAATCCAGTGACTAACATCATGAGTAGCGATGTTGGAAAACAATGACATGTATCAACCAAGTCAGCGAGCCTGACCACCCGGTCCCGTTAGTCGCCTCTTACGACAAGCATGAAAAAACTATCCCATGTGCAATCATCAACAACCAAACTATCTATCTATCTATCAGCAACATGGGGTGATTGGGGTAGTATGTGGTGAAGACGTCAGTTAAAGTTCGATTCTTTGTATGTAGTTGCAATAAGTTTAATCCTAGCTGGACTATGTGCTAAAAGGCAGCAATCCTCTTTTGCTGACACTATTAACTGAGTTCACACCCAATACTTTCTCAAACTTAACTTATGCGTGAGCACTATCGGCGCTGGTCAAGTCATTTTTGTCACTATCATTTGACAAACGTGTCAGAAAAAACCACAATGGAATTGTACGAACTCAAAGTGTTCTTCCCCGTTCCACGAGGCGATAATAGCGTTAAGACGATGGAAACTGTTATACTTTAACACAGACTTACTGACACTATTCAAGTAATATAAGTTCAAGTCCCATATCAAATCAAAGTTCCAACATGGATTGTAGTGAAACCAGAACAAGATAATTATCAAGTAAATGGACTTCAAATTAACGCGACTTTACTGTAAAATACACTTACGTGATCTTGGTGCGATCGCTGGAGTTGAGTTTCACTCTGGCTTCACCCGAGGTCTCGTTGAGTGTGAAGTCTGACGGCGTGTCACCAACGGTGTAGTATTTGACGATGTCGTTGTCAGCATCGTTCGCCTCGTACGTCAGCCTGACTTCCTGTCCAGCTTCTATGAGGATCTGAGTGGTGCCGGACAGTGCCGGACTGCGGTTCGCTGATACACATAGCAAGAATAATCTATAACAAGTTGTTATTGTTAGTTTCCGTTCTTATTAACCAAACAAGTTAAATATTTAATGTACGATCCGATGTACGATACAGTGTACGACCCGTGCACGATACACTGTACGATCCGGTGTACGATACACTGTACGATCCGGTGTACAATACAATGTACGAACCGGTGTACGATACAATGTACGATCCTGTGTACGATACACTGTACGATCCGATGTACGATACACTGTACGATCCGATGTACGATACACTCTACGACCCGGTGTACAATACAATGTACGATCCGGTGTACAATAAAATGTACGATCCGGTGTACGATAATCTGTACGACCCGGTGTACGATACAATGTACGATCCGGTGTACGATACAATGTACGATCCGTGTACGATACAATGTACGATCTGGTGTACGATACACTGTACGATCCGGTGTACAATACAATGTTCGATCCGGTGTACGATACAATGTACGATCCGGTTTACGATACAATGTACGATCCGTGTACAATACAATGTACTATCCGATTTACGATACGCTGTACGATCCGGTGTACGATACAATGTACGATCCGGTGTACAATACAATGTACGATCCGATTTACGATACAATGTATGATACGATTTACGATACAATGTACGATCCGGTGTACGATACAATGTACGATCCGGTGTACGACACACTGTACGATCCGGTGTACGATCCGTGTACGATACAATGTACGATCCGGTGTACGATACACTGTACGATCCGATGTACGATACACTGTACGATCCGGTGTACAATACAATGTACGATCCGGTGTACGACACACTGGACGATCCGGTGTACGATACAATGTACGATCCGTGTAAGATACAATGTACGATCCGGTGTACGATCCGATGTACGATACAATGTACGATCCGTGTACGATACAATGTACGATCCGGTGTACGATCCGATGTACGATACAATGTACGATCCGGTGTACGATACAATGTACGATACGGTGTACGATACACTGTACAATCCGGTGTACGATACACTGTACGATCCGGTGTACGATACAATGTACGATCCGGTGTACGATATAATGTACGATCCGGTTTACGATACAATGTACGGTCCGATTTACGATACAATGTACGATCCGGTGTACGATACAATGTACGATCCGGTGTACGATACACTGTACGATCCGGTGTACGATACAATGTACGATCCGGTGTACGATACAATGTACGATCCGGTGTACGATACAATGTACGATCCGGTGTACGATACAATGTACGATCCGGTTTACGATACAATGTACGATCCGATTTACGATACAATGTACGATCCGGTGTACGATACAATGTACGATCCGGTGTACGATACAATGTACAATCCGGTGTACGATACAATGTACGATCCAAAACGTTATCATTTATATCTCGCATATTCAACTGCACACATTGATACAAGGAGTGCATGAGTGAGTTAAAATTTAACGTCACATCTGCAATAGTTCAGCCATATCGTGAAGATAAAAATATACATTAATAACATATATATTTAGACTGTATAAAATCATGTCGTCGAAGGACAGTAAAATAACTATATCATGTCATTTATATCTAAAACTAGTATGTTACCATAAAAAAGATATCGATGCACATAACAAGATATAAAAAAAGGGCTATATATCACCATCAACCAAACCTAGGCCGCCATATTAGGGACCGTAGGGACTGTTACCTGAACGGTTCCCAAGCAGGATTTACACTATCGCTTCAGTTGCTGGCGACGATACGCAATTTAGCCATCATTTATTGAACACAAAAAAAGTCTACGTTTAAAACTGTGGTCGGAATAAAGGTACTTTGATTGATATGGTTTAACATATCCTCTCAGGGCTGTTACGTCGGTACTATCTCTATCTTAATGTAATGTGCAATGGATGTTTTATTAACGTTTCCATAATGTTTATAGAGTACAACTTGCTACAAGCCTCCAAACGCGATATGTCGCTTTGCAGAGTTGCATCCCTTAGATGTTAGGATCCGCTAGTAATTGGTTCGACGTGTACTCGTGGGTTTCACCAAAGCAGTACACCCCAGGCTACGATCTATCACACATGACGTCTCCCTCACACAATAAGCTGAATTAACGCGACAAAAACCATTCCCATAATCAGAAGACATCTTTGCTACAAGTCCATTGTACGAGTCCGGCTTTATCATTAGCATGTGTATTTGAAACACTATTACAGTAAACTACGTTTATAACGAACACGCTTATAACGAACTGACTTTTTTGTCCCGATTGTTTGCTGTAGTTATGCTGTATATATGCTTATAACGAACTACGGTTATAACGAACTAAAATTAGTGGTCCCTTTAAGTTCGTTATAACCGTAGTTTACTGTAATTAGTGATGAAAAGGTGTTTGCGAAAAGTTAAGCGTTTACTGTAAAACCCATCACAAAGGGAACATATGGGACAAGTCCAAATAGGGAATTGCATCATTCATAATTTTGTCCATGATGTGTCAAATTTGGAAATGTCTTCAACATGTCTAGTATAAAACTTTATGCAAGCTTTACTGAGGCCTTGAATGTTGTAACCTTTGTAATCAAACACTTTCTGTGCAAGAGTTGTATGACGCTCTTTGAAAGACCCTTGACCTTTGAAAGACCTGCAATCAAATTCCACCTTAGAGTGAGTGACTGAGTATGGTTTGACGCCGCGGGTGGCATTTTTCGAGCAACGTCACGGCGGGATACACCGTAAATAAGTCTCACACATGGTACCCATGTGAGGAATCGAACCCCGGGTCTAACCCTAATTAAATACTTTGAGCAAGGGTCGTATGACGCTCTTTGCAATCTTCGTAGAAAGGGCACGTTCGATTGTTCCTCAAACGTAGGGACATGTTGACAGAAAAATTATGGAGCTGCTGAAATATTGCTCCACGAACCTTGTGATATAACAGAAGAGCACTTCAATCATCGTTAAACCAAACTCACATAGATATTTAGTGGTGTTTCGTGCTTCCTCTATCTGGGTAGTAGTTGCTATTGCCAGGTCCTTGTTCCCAGTCACGGCGTAGTCATATATACACTGTGTCTCGTCCTTCCCGCCACACACACCCTCAGCTTCAGCGCGTGTGTTAGCCGCTATATCCTCCTCAAACAGTGGTGTGTAGCTGCTGTTTGTAAATGTAGAGATATCCTCACCCGGAGCGTAATGGAGAACAGATTCAGTCATATTGGTCAAAGCCCCTGGAAACGAAAAATAGTACCATTGCATTGTAGGTCACCTGGTATGTAGTAAAAGCCCCTGGAAACGAAAAATAGTACCAGTGTATTGTAGGTCACCTGGTATGAAGTAAAAGCCCCTGGAAACGAAAAATAGTACCATTGCATTGTAGGTCACCTTGTATGTAGTAAAAGCCCCTGGAAACGAAAGCATGGGTTGCTGAAGATCTATTCTAACCCGGATCTTTAGGGGTCAAATAATAAAATTGACTGAAATTGACATTGACCACCCCCGAACATATACGTGAACCCGTCAAAAAACTATTTACAAACAATAATTACTCCGGATTCATATTGCTGAGTGTGACGTTAAACAACAAACAAACAAGGTTTCACTAAAACGGCTGGATACAATAACTGTCATAATAAATGTAAGTGTATCATGGAACGTACATGATTGGCCGAATTGGTAGAGAACTTCATCTGTGGAGGTAGCAAGGTAGGGGGAGCCTGTGGATGATACGAAGTCATCAGTGTCGTCTCCGTTATAATTTCCAAGAAGACCTTTAGTTAGACCTCTGTATGTTTCCGGTAAAACGGCCGACTGGGACAGTGTTCCTGAGATGAGGCTCACGGTCACCACAACATCTGGAGAAACAATGGAGAAACAATGGAGAAACAATCGAGAAACAATAGGGAAACAATGGAGAAACAATGGAGGAACAATTGGGAAACAATGAAGAAACAATGGGAAACAATGGAGAAACAATGGGGAAACAATAGGGAAACAATGGAGAAACAATGGAGAAACAATGGGGAAACGATGAAGATCGAACAAAAAGTTTAAAATATGTGGTACTTTAATGATTTAACGATGGAGCAAATTCAAAACGTCAACGCGAGAGATGAATCAATCTCGATTATCTTGTTTGTTTGTTTGTTTAACGTCGCACCCAGCAATATCACAGCTTTATGACGGCGGTCTGTATATAATCGAGTCTGAACCAACTATCTATGAGCATCGATCTATGTAATTGGGATACGATGACAAACATCAACCAAGTCAGCGGGCCTGATCACTCGATCCCGTCAGTCGCCTCTTACGACAAGCATAGTCGCCTTTTACGGCAATCATGGACGGCTGAAGGCCTATTCTACCCCGGATCTTCACGTGGTTTGAAATAATAGTATTACGCTTCTCGCTCCCAGTTGACCGATAATGGGCTATATATACATCGGACATGATTATTTTCACTCACCATATACAATTTGACAACTAAATTGTAACTAAAAACAAGATATGTATAGATTTTCTAAGCCTCCTCTTTAGATATTTTTGACAAACGACTGGTACCCAAATATCCAAATCCAAATCTATCGCCCGCGCAATCACGTGTTGTCGGCTGTGATGCCACAGTGATAAGCAAGTTATTGTCCCGTATCCCCCCCCCCCCCCCCCCCCCCCCCCCAACTTAGATGAGAACGGAAGCTAAGGGGCGGGGCTTATCAGCCGGGACTGGATCGGTCTATTGTGGGTAACGGCAAAAAAATAATTAAAATGAATGGTTCTTCCATTTCGTTGACTATATGTTGATTCCGATTTGATTTTTTAAATTAATGTATATACTTATGTGGTTAATCAATCAGCCAGTCAATCAATCAAACAACATGTATCCTTACCAATTTGTGGGAAAGCAATTTGAATGTTTGTGTCGTTTTCTTTTAATACACTGAGGAAAGGTGATTGTGTCTGAAAGTCTGGTTCCTGGAACTCCAGGGTCTTGTCAACGTCATCTATGTAGATGACCATTTCTGAAACGATATGAATTGAAAAACGTCAACGCCAGAGAATTATCAGTCTCGAATATCGACCGAAACAGATTCCAGAGGGCGTAAGTAGCGAAATAGTGATGGAAATTATGCGCATGGATTACTGAAAATCATCGATGACACACAACTTTCGTTAACAAGTAATGCGTCATATGCAATAAATTTCTCTGAATAGGTACAATGTCACAAAAATAAAATGATACATACTTGTCCTATTTGTGTTCAGTCCGACATGAACCCGTCCTGTGCCCAGAGTTTCACTCTTCTGCTCAAATGCGAAGGCGGAGAACACGGTGGCCTTGACCTTCTCCCCTGTTTCCGACTTTGCTTGGGCAGTTCGGCAGTGTAGCTTGAAGGTGAAGGTCTTGTTTTCTAGTTCCATCAACGTGTACTCCCCCAATCCGTTAAAGGTGTATACCTTGCCGTCCAGTGTCATGAAGTGGGGGTCGCCCGAATTCCAAACTGGATATATAATACGTATTCTTTACACGTGTAACATGCACGTACAGTTTATAATTGTTTTCACTTATTTATTATGGTCTATTGGATTGTTTGTTTGTGGTTTAACGCCGCACTCAACAATATTCCGACTATATGACGGCGGTCTGTAAATAATCGAGTCTGGACCAGACATTCCAGTGATTGACATCATGAGCATCGATCCACGCAATTGAGATACGATGACATGCATCAAGAAAGTCGGCGAGCCTGACCACCCGATCCCGTTAGTCGCCTCTTACGACAAGCATAATCGCTTTTACGGCAAGCATGGGTTGCTGAACACCTATTCTACCCTGGATCTTCACGGGTCTTTTTCATTAGTTTCAAATCAAAACAAATTAAATACAATAGTTACCTACGATACATTAACAATTTCAATTCAGATATGACCTGAAAGTGTCAGTTTTTATGTATAATAACTGCGTGAATCGGGCATTACAAATGATAACTGAAAAGTTTAGATATTAAACATAATAACTGATTATTCGTTTTACCTGTAACATGTATACACACACACTAAATGATAAACAGTTGTTTATGCCTATGTCACGCTAATTGGATGTTTTTTGTGACACTGGAAAAATGGACAACGACTATTAAAAACTATGAAAAATGCAAGATTGAAGGTGATGGAAAAAGTCACCCAAAACACACGACTGAACGCAACCAGTGGTTTAGCACATGCACGTGCAATACACGAAAAGTAGAAGTCAATGTGGGTAGAATATGGTTAATTCCAGATGCAACTGAACTGCACTCTTAAAAGTTGAAAATGCGACGTTTTTGAAAACTGTTATGCTTATCATCTGCATGATCACTCAATAAGTCCGGTAAAGGGGGTTTCACTGTCTAAATGGGCGTTAATCTCAACTCACTCGCTCACAACAAACTTACATCGGATAGCCCTGGGTACTTCCCATGAACAGCTTGACCTAGGTCTGAGATATTTGTATAGACGACATAGACGAGACTCCCTACAGCACCACTGCTTGGGTCCACTGTCTTGGAAATAGTGCCTCGTACGGCCTAGAGATTCTCTAAATCGGACGTAGGTTCCAGCATCGGGTAACCTGTTGATAAACCGTCCCCATCTGTCGTAGCAGCATTCCTGTGGAATATAACCACATGTTACTTCAGTAATAGATTCATTGACGTTCTGAACCAAACGAATGTCGATACATGTTCTACATACAAAGCTGCACTTGGTCTTTAATGACTTAGGGCTGCGTGATATTATCATCTCAACAACATCCAACGGTTGCGCTCCTTAACTTGACACTATAAGAGGCAACGAGGGGACATGGTTGACTAGTCCTCATTATATGAGCTGAATGTGCCAAGCGTAACTAGGTTTGTTTGCTGTTTAACGCCGCACTCAGCAATATTCCAGCTTATGACGGCGGTCTGTAAATAATCGAGTCTGGACCAGAAAATCCAGTGATTGACATCATGAGCATTGATCACGCAATTGGGATACGATGACATGTATCAGACAAGTCAGCGAGCATAACCACTCGATCCCGTTGGACGCCCGTTATGACAATCATAGTCGCCTTTTACGGCAAGCATGGGTTGCCTGAAGACCTATTCTAACCCGGATCACACCCTGCGGGTGTGCATAAGTTCCTCACAGTAATCTCTAAATGCAATGTCATTGAATAAGCCCAGAGATGTTGGGAGGTTTCCCTATTTGACAGGGAAACCAGTTTCCGCAGTACATAAGCACGCGCTTTGGTATTTAACACCAGCTTATGGTTATTAAACAGTGGTAACTTGAACAGGCGAGTATAATAATTCCCAATTCGCTTTTATAATGTTTAGTCTGTATGTGGATTCAAAATGACAAACCATCGGACATGGCATATAACATTCCTTCCCAATTAAGCCGACACGCTGTGACAGAGCTGTAGTACAGATGTTAACCTGACACTTATTCACTCAACCATGCCGGTCATTATGTGAAACGACTGAAGATGACATATTACGTACATATGTGTCCAGTCCGAAGGTTGCTCTCATCTCAACACAGTAAGGGTTGTACCACCAGTACGGGGAAAGAGGAAGGAAAATCGCAGTCCATGGCAACCAGCGTCTGAGACAGGGACATCGGTCGTTACGAAGACTTCTGGCCCGGGTCCTGAACTGTTTTCTCAAGGCAAAGTTTTGCAGGAACCATTGGTAGCATTTCCGTTCAGGGCTCAAATTAATAATGTCTCCGACTTTGAACATCCAAACGCCCTTCTGACCTAAGGAAATAGTGACAACATGTTACTGACACCCTAGCCGTGAGAACACTGACAGAAGTATCTCAAAAAGTTATAAAAATATTATAACTTGAGGGTATGTTCCTGATTAAGCACATATTCCACACGTTCTGTTCCTCATAATATAGAAGTTGACATCACAAAATTCTCTCTCTTATCATGACACAAGTTGTTGTTAAAACCTTGTCATGTGATGGCAACGATGGTGTAAGAGCACTTATATAGGGTCAGTTTTTCATCCATAACAAGAAATGTCCTAAAACATTAAAGGAAAGCCAAAGTGAGGAAGGTCATAAATGCTTGCAGTGCTGGTGAATCCCATGAGCACAGTCACGGTGCTGACAGACCTATGACCTACACGGTCATGGACGTCTTTCATCTGTACCTTGGTTTGCAACATTGTTTGTTTGTTGTTAAACGCCGCACTCAGCAATATTCCAGCTGTTGCGGCGATCTGTAAATAATCGAGTCTGAACCAGACAATCCAGTAGTTGACATCATGAGCACCAATTTACACATTGACACGATGACATCCATCAACGCAGTCAACGAGTCTGACCACCCGATCCCGTTAGACGCCTCTAAAGACAAGCATATAGGTTGCTCAAGGCCAATTCTACCCCGGATCTTGACGGGTCACATTAACATAAACGTTCAAAAGCAATTACACAAACTTACTTAGTGAGTTGCCCCTAACTTGGTCCATTCTTGGTTTTTCATACCAAGAGAAGAAGTCTGCTTCAAAATACTCAATGTCTCTCCTTGAATACTCCAGTTCTGTAAATTGGCCTGCGAATTGTCCTTTAAACCCGTGTACTGCTTGCTCTCTATGATAACGTGTATAATATGAATCTTGAATAGTCACATAGAAGAACATCACATATGACACTTGTCCATCTGTGATGAGGACCAATTGAAAGGTACTGCCCTGCAATAAAGAGGTGTTTGTTAAGAAGCATCAAGGTAAGGGTCATATCCGAGAAATACTGCATGTGTAGGGAAAACGCTACACTGATAATGAGCGAAATACGGAGGGTGTGTGGGTCGCTGAGGGCAAAATCAAACACCTGTGTAACATGTGTCTGACTGTGAGCGTCATAAATTAAAAATTAAAAAAGAACTGTTTTAGGTTCAGCGGATAATAATTAAATATAAGGATATGTAAAGTTTGTGATTTGTGAATTGATGAAAATAGATAATATCTATGTGTCTTTATGAGCCGTGACTAAAAAGTAATAGGAAGGGTGTGTGTCTTATCTAAGCGGTGAATAACTAAATGGGAAGGGTATGTGTATTCTGTGAGCGGTGAATAACTGAATAGGTAGAGTATGTGTCTTATCTAAGCGGTGAATAACTAACAAGGAAGGGCATGTGTCTTATCTAAGCGGTGAATAACTAAATGGGAAGGGTATGTGTATTCTGTGAGCGGTGAATAACTGAATAGGTAGAGTATGTGTCTTATCTAAGCGGTGAATAACTAAATGGGAAGGGTATGTGTATTCTGTGAGCGGTGAATAACTGAATAGGTAGGGTATGTGTCTTATGTGAGCAGTGAATAACTGACTACGAAGGGTATGTGTCGTATGTGAGCGGTGAATAACTGACTGGGAAGGGCATGTATCTTATCTAAGTGGTAAATAACTAAAAGGGAAGGATATGTGTATTCTGTGAGCGGTGAATAACTGAATAGGTAGTGTATGTGCTTCATGTGAGCAGTGAATAACTAAAAGGAAAGGGTATGTGTCTTATGTGAGCAGTGAATAACTGAATAGGAAGTGTACGTGTCTTCTGTGAGAAGTGAATAACGAAACGGGAAGGGTATGTGTCTTGTGTGAGCGGTTAATAACTGGCTAGGAAGGGTATGTGTCTTATGCGAGCAGTGAATACCTGACTGAGAGGGTATGTGTCTTATGTGAGCAGTGAATACCTGACTAGGAAGGGTTTGTGAGCGGTGAATAACTAAATGAGAAGTGTAAGTGTCTTCTGCGAGCAGTGAATGACTGAAAAGGATTGGGTCAGTTTGGTATAACGTCGCTTTGAACAGTATTCCAGTAATATCACGGAGTGTCAGCTTAATGAAGGAGGAAAGCCCGAAGTGATGCAGGTCTCAGACGTTTACAACTTTGGTGAAACCCACGAGCACGGGTAAGGTGCTGACAAACCTAGAAACATAATCGGGAAGAACCGCGACTCGAACTCGCGATAGGTTTTTGGAGTGCCAAAGGGACGCAACTCTGTACAGCGAATTGCGGCTCCTAAAACGGCTGGGTCACCCGTGCCAACAACTGAATAGGAATAAAGTGTGTCTTATGTGAGCGGTGAATACCGAACTGGATTGGCTATGTATCTTAATGTGAGCAGTGAGTCACCTAATTTTTGTTTGCTTGCTGTTTAACGCCGCACTCAGGCATATGCCAGCTATTTGGCGGAGGTCTGTAAATAATCAAGTCTCGACCAAACAAGCCATTGATTGACATCATGAGCATCGCAAGTGGGATAAGATGACGTGCATCAACCAATTGCAGGTCAGAGAGGCCGACCATCCAATCCATTTAGTCGTCTCTTATGACAACCTACGAGGAAGAATATATATCTCAGGGCGGTCAATGAATCCTTAAATAAGAGGGATACGTGTTTGAATCACTGTATTTGGAGGTGATAGGAATGAAGTCATTTACCGAATCCATCTCAATTTTCGTGTTGCCTGACAATAATCGATCTTCAGTTTATCGGACAATTACACAACTTTGCACTGTCATTATAAACAAACAAAAGATGTTTACATACCCTGTCAGACGCCCAACTATGATACCACGAAAAAAACGGAACGTCGTCCCACGTGATCACCATGACCCATGATGCTTGGAATGTTCGCTGTCGTGTTCGCGCCCTCACTTCCGCTGTGGCTCTCGCTAGCGCATGCTCAGCTGCAAAAACAAGGGACATTGATGTTGGGAGTGAGTGAGTTGGGTTTAACGTTGTTTTGAACAGTATCCAAGTTATATTGCGGGGTGTCAAGTGATGCGGGGCGGAGGTCTCAGACGTTTATCACTTTGGTGAAACCAACGATCATGGGTATGGTGCTGACAAACATAATCGGGCTAAATCGGGATTCGAACCCACGATCATAGGTTTCTGGCGTGCCCACGGGCCTCAGAGACTAGGCCACCCGCGCCCGCTCAAAGACAAGGAAAGATGGATATAATGCCTATTGCTTGTTCGCTATATGGTGAACTGTTTTATTGCTTGCCTCCATGTGATACATCATATTATGACTTTTGTATCTATATATGAAATGGATGCCGTGAAATAGCTGGAATAGTGCTGACTGTCACATAAAAATATACCCACCCACCCCCCCCCCCCCCCCCCCCCCACACACACACACACACACATTCCCCCCCAAAAGAAAAGAAGAAAAACACCAACAAGAAAAAAGTTTCATATCCAACCATCGAACCGTGTTTAGGTTTCGCAATGCAAATGATCATCAGCATCATTATATATATTAATTATACTTTAAAATTTCCTTCTGGAGATATGAAATATTTGTTATCATCACTGACCACTGAAATCCCCGTACGCATAGACGTGATAGAAGACGTTGCCACGGGATATGATGTCGAAGTCCGCACAGTACACACATATGTATTTCATCGCATATCGTATTGATCGAAAAAAATACGAATTGTACTGGCTCCCGAAGGTCACGCCTCCATTGTCACCAACCTAGAAAAAGAGAGTGCATTATAGATTTGTTTGTGTAACGCCTCACTCAGCAATATTCCAGCTATATGACTGCGGTCTGTAAATAATCGAGTCTGGACCAGACAATCTAGAGAGAGACACCATGAGCATCGATCTATGCAATTGGTATACGATGACATGCATCAACCAAGTCAGCGAGCCTGACCACCCTAACCCGTTGGTCGCCTCTTACGACAAGCACGGGTTGCTGAAGACAAATTCTAACCCGGATCTACACGGGTCTTTAAGCTCATGGTTATCGTGAACACATATGCGCTTTAGAGAATAAATATGGTTTTTAAATTTACCAAAAATGCACCTTATCTGGACCAGACAATTCAGTGATTGACATCATGAGCATCGATCTACGCAACTGGGATAAGACGACATGCATCAACAATGTCAACAAGCCTGACCATTAGTCGCCTCTTACCTCTTACGACTATGAAAACCAATTCTAACCCGGAACTTCATGGGGGAGACAAGCATGGGTTGCTGAAGACCAATTATAAACCGGACCATTGTAGATTTTGACGCAATACAGTGAAACCTTGTTGATCCGGATTCTCTTTAGTCCTCAGGGGCGATTACTTTTGTGAACGTTTTCAAATATTCTAGCATTACCCAATGTCCAGATTCGATTATTTACAGACCGCCGTCTTATAGCTGGAATATTGCTGAGAGTGGCGTTAAACAACAAACAAAGAAACAAACAAATGATCAAACAAACATACATCTGAGACATGACTCACTTGTTTTAATCTAACATTTAGCTGACATGCCGTGATAAAACTTAAATACTCTACAAATTCGAGCAATATCCCGGCAGGAGACACCAGATATTGGCTTCACGGATTGTACCCATGTTGGGAATCGAACCCGGGTCTTCGGCGTGACGAGCGAACGCTTTAACCACTAGGCTTCCCGACCGCCCCGTTTCCGAAAGCGCAATAGTCTGAGTTAATTATACCTACATAAATCACATTTTCAAAGTTGTCGTAGAAGGGAAAGCCGTCCTCAATGTATATTCTGCCACTGGATATATCCCATCTACTTCGCCCCAGTCTGCTGTCAGCCTCCGAGAAGCCATATGGGAAGGGACCTGTGAAAAAATAAAATATCAACGTGAAACAGATCAAGAAATCAAAAATTGTTTTGAAAAAAAATAGGATTAAATTCCTGCCTTTATGTTGCCTGGCGTATGAGCATTAATTATCAAAACATTATTTTTCTGCAATTATCCCATTAAAAGACGCATTTCCACAAATTCCGTATAACTATATAAGCGATGGTTACAAGAACGTCAATTAAAGATGATTCACTCATGCTCTGTACGGAACTTTAACAATGCTACTTGTTCTATTTCACTTACTGGAGCTCGATGACACCGTTGCTGAAATGACAGATACTTCAGATCACGTTTTTTGTTAGGTTTGTGGTTTAACGCCGCACTCAACAATATTCCAGCTATATGACGGCAATCTGTAAATAATCAAGTCTGGACCAGACGATCTAGAGATTGACACCATGAACATCGATCTATGCAATTGGTATACGATGACATGTATCAACCAAGGCAGCGAGCCTGACCAGCCTAACCCGTTGGTCGCCTCTTACGACAAACACGGGTTGCTGAAGACAAATTCTAACCCGGATCTACACGGGTCTTTAAGTTCATGGTTATCGTTAACACATATGGGCTTTAGAGAATAAATATGCTTTTTAAATTTACCCAAAATGCATCTTATCAGTTATATTTTATTAATTATGAGTTTACACTTGAAATACATCCATAAGTTGAGAAGAGAAAATGGCTATATAAATTTGTTATAAAATGTTTTGTACAAATAGTGTAATATGTCGGAGGAAATACTTACAGGTACTGCATCATGAAAAAGAAAACAAAAAGAGCATTATTGATTATTCCATAAAGAAAACTGGAAGATTTGTTTGTTTGTCGTTTTACGCAGCACTCAGCAATATTCCAGCTTATGACGGCGGCCTGTAAGTAATCGAGTCTGGACCAGACATTCCAGTGAGTGACATCATGAGCATCGATCCATGCAACAGATAGAGGACATGAAACTTACCAAGTCCCTGAGACTCATCGATTAAGACGAGACTCCCTACAAGCATCTGTTGCTGGGGACATATATTCTTACAACCCCCTCCCCCCTAGCCCCCACCCCCACCCCCACCCCCACCATTAGATTATCAAAATCATTTTACACAAACTATATTCTTTCCTGACACTCTCCATTTTCGTAATAACATATTTCTTTAAAAATGTTGCTAAGAAAATTAAACATACATGCATACATACATACATACATACATACATACATACATACATACAAACATACATATTCCCCCAACCACGGTAGCCTAGTGGTTGATGCGGTCGTTAGTCGAAGACCGAGTTTGGCGATTTGTTGATCGTTATAATCGTTAGAAATAGTTCAGAAATGTTTATATACTCACCACCAAAAGAAACGCGAAACACAGAAACATATGGAGAAGTATGTAAGTTAAGAATAGAAGTTTCCAAAACTATCAGTCAAGTGTTACCACAGGGTTCTGATCACGAAAGTTCCGGGGTTCGATCCCGTTTAACGACGTTAAAAGATGGTACTTGTTGTTACCCTGTCTGACGCTCGGGATTAAGGGGCTAAAACAAGGACTTGTCTGCTCGATCTCTTGACTATGAGTAATTCTTCATATGTATAAACCAAGGTTTCTTTTAGTTGTGAGTATAATGTTGTGTTACGTTACCTATAATTCATGTTATGTTACCTACAAGTCATGTTAAAGCAATTACATAACCCCTGGGTGAGAAAAAATGGCAAACAGGGGAAACATACCTCATCTTGCCTGGGGCTCTATATTTCATATCTCTATATCCCCCCCCCCCCCCCCCCCCCCCCCCGCCCGCTCTCTTTCTCTCTCTCACTCTCTCTCTCACTCTCTCTCTCTCACTCTCTCTCTCTCTCTCTCTCTCTCTCCTCCCCCACCCCAGCTCACTAGATTTCAAGACACAGCTGCGCTTTCATTTGCACACAAGTAATTTGGAGGGAGTAGGGCTATATTGTTCTGTTCGGTATTATATGTTGAGGTGAAAAACTGGATTTGTGTACATAATAAGTTGATGCATATTAAGTGTAGAATACCAAACTCGCTCCCGTGCAATACCAATTTTATGAAACGAGTGAATTTTTCAGGTAACTGACGAATAAATGCAGAACTATTCACGAGCTTCATAACATTGGTATAACACGAGAGCGAGTTTAGTGTTTTATTTATTACTTGCCGTTTTAACCTTTTTTAAAAAAAACCCCCAAAACATTCACTGTCGTGAATAGGCAGACATCTACGCGATCCACAGCCTAATCCAACTGAGTTTAACAGAATAATATTTCAAACACGTCAAAAGTATTAATGTAATAACACACATCGGCCCATCTTTGTAATTCAGGGTTCAGCTCCACAAAGCTATCGTAGCGATATTAGGTTATCGAACTACCATACTTTAACATAGACGTTCTGTCGTTGCGCTACGATCGCTTTGTGGAACGGGGGCCTGCACCACAAAGTTTACAATCACGTCACTATACCCTATGACGTAATTTGCGATATTTAGTTGCAAAAAAACACCGTAAGCTGGTTCCCGCCTTCCTATGCGCGTCGTCACCTTACGTCATATGAGAGACGGGGTCCAGCTCAGACACACCGGCAAAACAATGCCATGTGACGTCAGCCTAGCAACACGGTTACTGGGGTCATCGAGTGTGCATACGCTCCTCTCTATTATCTTTCTACACGCAATGCCGTTGAAATAGCCAAGAGATGTTGAAAGTTTTCAATACTTGTTCGTGGAACCTAAGCACGCGCTTTGGTATTGCGCAGTGTGTAAATATAGCTGTAAGTTTATTGAACGAGCAATCTCTTCACGGGAAAGTAATACTATCAATAGTCTTCTGTTAAAATTTTATCACGCCCAAGATCTATGATACATATTCAAATGATAAAGTCACAATGTCAAAGGTATACTGGGCACACCCATTTCAAAAGAAACAATTATTGACAGTTTGCCAATTTCTCCATTGAAAAGTCAGGTGGTTTTCTTTTGAAATGTCACTTTAATGCGGATGTGTGCAACACACATGCACAATGCATGTACAGCGTCTAACAATGGCTATCTCTCACAAGGAAGTGTGCACGTCCCTTCGTAACCCATTTAAGAATCAAGCATTCACATGTCGCTATTGAACAGCTATCTTTAGCATTAGGTTTTCAGTCGATGCACACAGCATATGTCGCACCGTTAGAGTTGGAAATTTTGTAGCATCAGAAGAACATTTAAACCCCCTATTTTGTGTATATTAATTATTTAAAGCAAAGTTTGTTCGTTGTTTAACGCCTCATTCAGCAATACTCCAGCTATATGAATCGAGCCTGTAAATAAACCAGTCTGTACTAGACTATCCTGTGATTGATATCATGAGCACCGATCTGCGCAATTAGAATACGATGACAGGTATCAACCAAGATAGCAAGCCTGACCACCCGATCCCGTTAGTGTCCAATTAAGATAAGCATGGGTTGCAGATAATTTCTAACACGGATCTTCAAGGGGTAAAAGTAAAGTTAATAAATCTATAAATATTAGAGATGCAAACAAAATGCGTTCTAAAAAATAATACCAAGCATGTTATTCTAATCAAATACACGTCTGACAAAATCTTGAGTTGGTACACATACAGAAACAAATGTCTCCCACGACCTTGCTGGCCTAGCCTACCATCTTACAAACGCTCTGTTTACCAGCAAAATGAGAGAGACGACACCATTAGGTGAGGTGAAATTGGATTAAACGTCGCGTCCAAGATTATTGCACTTATATAGCGACGTGCATGCACGTGTGTGTGTGTGGCTGCTTGTACTAGTCCGGACTGATGCCGATTTATAGTGCTAGCCCACTGAGATACCATGCCGCAGTTTAACATGAATACCCCACTCAGACACAGTATACTGACTCCGAGCCGACCAGTCCTTGTTTTAGCCCCTTAATGCCGAGCGCCAGACAGGGTAACAACAAGTACCATCTTTTAACGTCTTTTCATATGACGCGGCCGGGGATCGAATCCCGGACCTTCCGCTCTCTGGGCGGACGCTCTACCTCTAGACCACGGAGGCGGCCAACGACACAATGAAAAGTATGTCAGTAATATGATGCTCTGTCAGCTCGGCGTGGAAAGAAAGTTCAGGCTTTTAAAGACATCAGAATATCATCGAAACAATCCATTCGACATGTCCCGGATTCGAGTTAATCATACGAGTTTGGGACGATTTAGGGAGTCTGCATGGAGAACTGCGGCACCTTAGAAGGCATGGCACTCCTGCTAGCAAGTCATGGGTTGTACACTCCCGAGGGAGGTGAGAATGAAAATCGAGTCCTCACTGATACATTGACAGGGGTAATAATAGTGTAGCGCCATGAGCATCCACTTGATGAATGAAATCTGGCGCATTATAAATGCACTTATTATTATTATATCATGCACTTTGGGGGAAATGAAGCAACGTCTAATGTTGTTTAACGCCGTTTAATTTGGCTTAGGCAAACCAGGGATAGATAGATTGAACAACGATCCACATTTAGATCACCCATTGTGACTATTCTATCGTTATTGTACTCGTCACAACACTAACATTTAAGGCATTTACAAGGCTTTCAACTGCCATTTTCAAGTCTTCTTTGTGGGGTAATCACAGGTAAGCCAGGATAAGTTGAGTCGTGACCTGACAAATAACCCCTTATGACTATGTATGAGGTCCGCTCACTGGCGCGTAACATTGTGAAGAGTGAGTGAGTATGCTTTTACGCCGCTTTTAGCAATATTCCAGCAATATCACGGCGGGGGACACAAGAAATGGACTTCACACATTGTACCCATGTCGGGAATCGAACCCGGGTCTTCGGCGTGACGAGCGAACGCTTTAACCACTAGGCTACCAGACCGCCCACATTGTGAAGAATGGGTTAGCGGGTGGTCCGCGACAACGAGTACGGTGAATGCGTGTGTCTTGTCTGGGCTAACAACGAGTTCTAGTGTCGAGTTCAGTATCACATTGTACAGTTAACTGACTATAAAGGTCCAGTTTCCATCCTTGCCGAACTAGGCTGGTATTATGGAGTTACATTTTGGCTGGACTAACGAGTCTATGCATAGTCCAATCAAAATCGCGCTACGAAATCGAAATCCGGTTCGTAAACTGTCATGCAGATTTTGGTCGATTGCAGGATATGCAAAGCATGCGACCGTTGTCAACAGATATTTTCTAAATCTTTGCATGTTTCTTATCAAGGTGCTCACGTGATTTGATGCACTTCGCGATGTAAGACTCGTTTTATCACAATATATAGATCTCGATTATCGATCAGATCGTCTTGACTGAGCGCCGCCGTTTTGTTTTAATCAAATGCAAGTGATGCGTGAGGTGGAATCTGATTGATCCATAGGAGAGGCATAGAAGGACATTACTCTTAATAGCCACTGGTGGCGCTACGATCGAACCCAGGAATTCCAGCCTCGTTCGGCAAGGGTGGAAACTGGACTTTTCAAGTCAGTTAACTCTCTTGCCTCGGGAAGATGCACATTCTAGTACGTGCCCTTGTCAAGAGCGACACCAACTGCTCTGATGCGCCTTAGCGAAGATACGGACATACAAGTGGCAATGATAGCCTTTGACAATGCTTGTAATTTATTTGTAAATTCGTAATGACATTATAGGCAAATTCTCGAGCCTAGGAATGCATGATTTGGCCATGGTAACCTAGCTTTGACATGTTTATTTGTTTGTAATTTATTTTCATCAAACGACTTTCAGTGAATGTTGGTATCGACTTGTCACACCGACCTCGAAATATGAGCAAATCATGGGAGCGTAGTCAATTTCAACGTCACGATCTGCACGTGCACACCATGAGTACACCCTCCGCTATGATTCAAATGAGAACGATGAATTGCAAAACAACTCAAAATCGGGAATAGTCTTTTAAATTAAGTCTTTGAAAGGCATTTAGAAGTGATACACATAAGGAAGATAATTTATGGATGTCAACTTCTTTATTGTGAGAAACACAACGTTTCGGAGTATAAACCTGATGAAGCAGTATGTACTTCGAAACGTTGTGTTCCTCATAATAAAGAAGTTGACATCCATAAATTCTCTTCCTTAAGGCTATTAAATGTCAATAGTGTACACGGTAATGAATATCCTGTACCCAACAATATCTGTTTGTTGTTAATGAATATCATGTACCCAACAATATCTGTTTGTTGTCATGTTGTTATGTGTACAAGTTGACATCTTGAACGGAAGGGAGCACAACGGGGAGCACTGCACGTGCTACAAAGTATACGTCGTTGTTGACTGACAAGATGTGCTTCTCAGCTAATGTGAAATAGTCGATTTTTAAGGCGTATGGTTTCTTTCGATGTGAAGCAGAAAGAGCAAAACCATTTAATACCATTAATAAATACTTGAAACGAGCCTCTAAAGCTCTTGGTGAATCTCCTAAGAATCTAAAAAACGTTGTCCGTCGACGGAACTCAAGCAAGCAGGTGGGGAACATATCAAAAGTCAGGAGTCCAACTTGGGGAAATGCATCTGACATTATTTTGGTCACTGATGCGTCTAATTTGAAAAAGTCCTAATGTCTACCATTAACAAACCTCACAGCTCACACAACAACTAAACTTTTTAGATGCAAAATGTTCGTTTAATAGTTCATGTAATGTGAAGATCCAAACCAGAGTTCAGGCGGTGTAATAAAGATGAACTTACCGGCATTCTCCATTTGAACAGGGACGGTCCTCAGGACACAGAAAACAGATGACGGAAACTGAAGTATAGATGCATTCTCTGTTTGAACTGAGTGAGTGAGTGAGTGACTGTTTGACGCCAAACGATTAATGAGCAAACCTTTCAATCTATCAAAATTACATGGTTAAGTAATATTGTGTTCTCTTCCTTGAGGTACAATTTTGCAGAAATATCAATCAAATGAAAATAGTTTTAGAAGAACCCCGTTGATCGTTGTATTAAGCGTTAGTAGTATAAAAGACCCAGTGTAGGAGGATCAGGTCACTACCCTGGATCACATCACTCCCAAGTGATTTCATCCTTGGATCAAATCTCTCCCCTCAGGATCATAACATTCTCCCTTTGTTGGAATGAAAACACTCCCCAGGATAAAAACCACTCTCCTCATACATTCTGAATAGTTACTGTTTTGGCGATCGCCCTGCCCTTCCCTGCCCTGATTAATTACTAATCTATGAATAATCCATTTATACGTCAAAATATTCTACAAAATATATCTTAACTCATGCTCATTTTCGTCAATTCGTTAGTATGACCTGCTTATAAATTAATATCTTCTCTAAATCAGAACCATTTATTACCTGTGTCCCTATTATAACTCATATCCAATGTCCTTCCTCAATGACGTTTTTTAATACGGTAGAAAAAAACATCCTTGATCATCAAAGACCACACTAAAGTGTTAAAAAACACAGTGAGTATAGTTTTACGCCAACTTTAGCAATATTCCAGCAATATCACGGCGGGGGACGTTAAAAACACAACAATACCAATGTCATTGAAGTAATTGTTCGCACTCATTTAAACAACCTCACTAACTAAAATATTTGGGTGTGGAGTGTGGTTCTTCAAGGCGTCAGGTATTGGCATGTGGTGTAGTGTTCCAATGTGGGGTTATGTCCAGAGCCCCTCCACGGGATGTAACATATTCGACTTTTTGTAGTCCTGCCATGGTATGTTATCATGTGTGAGAGGTTTATTGTACATCTTAAATTTGGTGAAGATACCTCGCATCTAGGAGTAATATAAACCAATGGCAAAAATAACAAATACCAATCTCGCATCAACGTTATGTATACTGAACCGCAGAAGAAACGTCACCATGGATAGATATATGAAAAACCTTATTTGTCCAAACACTGTAAACATACATTGAAACATATAAAAAAGATGAAACTTGGCAAAGCTGGTCATCAAGGTTGAAATTAAAGTGTCAAATGTTCTTAAAGTGAAACACAACACTAGTCTCTGAGAAAATGGCATCACAGGTCAGTATCTCGTGTGTCCGCCATGTGCATTGATGACTGCCGTGCAACGTCGATACATGGAATGGATGAGGCGGTTAATGAAGGCCATAGGCACTTGAGCCCGCACTCTGAGGAATGCCTGTCGCAGTTCAGCTGCAGTTGTTGGCCTTGGTCGGGTCACCCGTGTCATTCAGCCGTCTTTTAATCTCGTCCCACAGGTGCTCAATGAGATTTAAATCGGGACTGAGGGCAGGCCACTGTTTGGTTCTGATGCCATTCTGCTGGAGGAAGTCTCTTGTTGCTCTCGCAGTGTGGGCACGGGCGTTATCATGCTGAAACTCGTGGTTGCGGCGACATGTCAAATGAGGTATGGCGTGTGGTCTCAAGACTTGATCAATGTACCGAGCTGCTGTGAAACCATTGCCTCTCCCAGGACCGAAGTTCTGGAAGACTACAGGGCTGCCCCCCTGTGCAGGACCAATTCCACACCATGATGCTCGGACCACCCCACGAGTTATAACGGCCCTCGTCTGAGAAGAGGACCCTTCTCCACTGCTGGTGGCGCCAATGCTTGTGCTGTGTTGCCCCCTGAAGACGGTCCCGCCGATGACGTGGTGTCAGAATGGTTCCTCGATGTGGCCTGTGACAGTGGAGGTGTCTGCTCGTCAATCGTCGACGCTCGGTGACCGCACTTATGTGTCGCTGGTGTGTCCCCATGGTCTGTCGAGCAGTTTCCGAAGCAGTAACAAAGCGATCTTGTGCTGTCGCACAATCTGACGATCCTGACGTAGGGTGGTGACCCTTGGTCTTCCACTACGTGGTCGGTCATCTGTAGTATTGGTAGTCTTGTACCGTTGCTGGAACCTGTATATGGTCCTTACGTGGACTTGAAATGCATTGGCTACTTGCCGGGCGGTTTGTCCAGCTTGCAATCGCCCAAGGGCTTGGTGTCGGTGATTTCTTGTCAATCTTGGCATGTGGTATCACTTCAATAACGAATAAATGTTATCCGATCTGGATTTTTATACGGCAAGAAATGGGGGAACGCATGTGCATTTCAGTTTGCACGGGTGCATCGGGTTGCCATGGTCGTTGCCGTAATGCGTTTGGGCGATCGGTTTTATTGTCATCTGCTTTGTTTTTTATCATCAAATTTCATTTTTCCGGACAAGGTAATGTTAAATTCTAGAAACTTTGACAAAAATTACCCAGATATTTAAATGACATCTTTTCATTCAATGTTACTTGGGATGACGTTTCTTTTGCGGTTCAGTATATAATACCTGTCAACAAAGGACAGTACAGCAACTAGTATATTATCACAGAGTTATTCATAAACTACTTATTCACTGATTTCCAGGGGATTGCAGTAATTATGCAAAGTTAATTCCAAATAAGAACTTAAAAACAATGTATTTCATATAAGGAAAACATGATTCGTCAAGATGTAAATATCACTCAAAACTTACATAACGTACACACACGATGCAATAGTAACATTCCTGTTGATAATTACTTTCATTTTGGACCTCTTTTGCATTATATTATTTCCAAATACATAAGTGTGTCTTTTGCAATTTCGGGGGAGATGTGGGGGGAATTGATCCTGAAGGGCATTGATTTTATCCTGAAGGGAGTGTTTTGTTCCTTAGAGGGGATGTCTGGAGAGTGTCAGTCCTAGGAACAGGTCGGTCTAGAGCAATTGTAACCCCAGGAAAGAATAACTCTAGAGTGAAGTTTAAGGGTATTACTTTAATCCTGCCACACCGGCAGTTAACACAGGGCAACAAGAAGCAGAAAGTTGACAAGAACATTATGCTCACCTTCCCCTTTGTTGTCGGTGAAGATGGTGGGGACTGTGGTGATGCTGAAACTTCCAAACTGCACACGACGATGCAGTATAGATAAAGCATAGGCGACACCGATTGGGTCACCGTCTCCCGTGAACCCACAAGTGATCGTGTACTTGAACGTATTTCCATTAGCTCTGTGACAAAATAGTATAGAATGAGGATTAAAGCAACAATATTTCAGTGACATAACTGCCTGTTTAAATAAGGGAGGACACCCAACGTGAAAACCAATGAGAATGGTGATAGTTACACATTGTATGTTGAATTTACATCATATTGAAGAATATTGGATATGGTGCGAATTAATGACAAAATGCTTTGTTTGAACTAATCACGGCAGGTTTCTTACCACATAAGAATGGGAGTATGTCCAGGTAACTTAACTCTACGTAACCATGCTTTCAATTCATTGTTATCTCTGTACTTTATTTCAATCAAACTTCGCTGCAAAAAACATTGAGGAAATACTTTTTCGTCTACTAATGTTTCTTCTTTAAGGATAAAGGGCGGTGGGTAGCCTAGTGGTTAAAGCATTCGCTCGTCACTCGGAGGCACGGGTTCGATTCCCCACATGGGTACAGTGTGTGAAGCCCATTTCTGGTGTCCCCCGCCGTGATATTGTTGGAATGTTGCTAAGAGCGGCGTAAAACTATACTCACTAACTCTTAAAGGAGATCGTTTTTCTTAATTGTGGTTAACGTAATAAAAACAAACGACTAATGATACATCTATGCACAAATAATATATGTGTTTTATATGTTTTAAATTTGTTTTGACAGATGACTTACGTTTTGGTTATTGCCATGCTCTCAATAGTGACGCCATCATCCGCAAACTCTTGTTCCAGCTGAAATATAGGATATTCATAACATTGGTATGAGCTCATTACAAGTGTATTATTGGGATTAATGTGACGAAGACGTTTGAACATCGGCGCCAGTAAGTACATTTTGACGCAAAGACATATCTGGAGACAATGGCATGCTACATGATAGCTTACGTTCAACGATCTTTGTCATTCCAAATTTAACTACCCTGAATGTGTAAACGTGCGTGCGTTAGTGAGTATTGAGGTACACCTTTTCTGATTATATCACGGTGGCGAACACCTAAAATATCTCCATATGTACATGTTAGATATTAAACATAGGCCGTAGGCGCAACGAACGAACATTTAACCTACCAGGCTACTCGCTTGCGATTCTAGAATTTATAGTCCGCACTCAGCATTATACCAGCTATAATATTATGACGGCGGTCTGTAAATAATCGAATCTGGGCCAAAACAATCTCGTGATTAACGCCATGAGCATGCTGAGGGGATCAGGTATGAAATAATCATCTGAATTTTCTCACAACATATGTTGCAGAAGTTGGCCTCATGTCACAGTAGATACGTGCAATTTGCCCAAACATAACGTTATGGAATCCATTATATATAGTTCAAGCTATATGCTAGCACGTCTCCATTTACCTATAAGACGTGAGTTTAGTTAAGAACTTACTTCAGTTTATGGAGATAGAGAAGATAAAACTGCGAAGCAAAATGTGCACTCCATTGTTACATTTATCAATAAAGATTGATACATCTATAAATGTTTTACAGGGAGTATAATTAATACCTAGAATTTTCAGGGATTATGTGTATTGCCAGATTCACTCGAAATATACTCGTCCCTGAAATGTTCAAGGATTTTGCGAAACATTGTCTCTGAGCTAGCCTACCTCACAGTTCTATACACCCCAACCTATTTTATCTTCATCCCCACCACCCGACCCCACGGCCTGACGCCTGTGGCGAGACAGAACATTCTCTCCAGTCACCCCAGCGGTCCCTCACCTAACCCACCCCCACCGTTCTATACAACTCCACCCATGTTACCTTCATCTCCACCCCCCCCCCCACCCCCCCCCCCCCGCCGCCCCCCACCCCATGGCCTGACGCCTGTGGCGAGACAGAACATCCTCGCCCATTTATACCCCCTATAGCAAAAACCATATCTTACATATAAAGTCAACTATAATAATTTCACAGTCTGCTTATATCTAATCATTAACACACAGACACAGACACAGACACACACATACACTCACACACACACACTCCCTCACTCTCATGCACACGCTCTCTCTCATACACACATTCTCTCTCATACACACACTTTCTCCTTCTCATACACGCACTCTCTCATACACACACACACTCTCTCATACACACACACTCTCTCTCATACACACACTCTCTCTTTCTCATACACGCACTCTCTCTCATACACACTAACTCTCTCATACACACACGCTCTCTCTCATACACACACACTCTCACTCATACACACACACACTCTCTCCCATATATACACACTCTCTCTCTCTCATACACACGTACTCTCTCATACACACACTCTCTCTCATATACACACACACACTCTCTCTCATAAACACACACTCTCTCTCAAACACACATACTCTCTCTCAAACACACATACTCTCTCATACACACACTCTCACATATACACACACTCTCTCATACATACACACTCTCTCTCATACACACACTCTCTCATATACACACTCTCTCTCATACACACACTCTCTCTCTCTCATACATACACACACACTCTCTCTCTCTCATACAGACACGCTCTCTCTCTCTCTCATATACACACACATACACACTCTCTCATACACATTCTCTCATACACACACACTCTCTCTCTCTCTCATAAACACACACTCTCTCATACACACACTCTCTCTCATATACACACTCTCTCTCATACACACACTCCCTCTCTCTCATACATACACACACACTCTCTCTCATACAGACACGCTCTCTCTCTCTCATACACACACATACACACTCTCTCTCATACACATTCTCTCATACACACACACACTCTCTCTCTCTCATAAACACACACTCTCTCATATACACACTATTTCTCTCATACATACATACACACACACACACACACACACACACACACACACACACACACACACACACACACACACACACCGATACCGACACACAGACACATAGACATACACAGACAGACAGACAGACAGGGGGGCTGGGCTTTAGCATGGCTACAACTACAAAACCAGATAAATATTTTAATTTTAAACTTTTAAAACTTTTTTCTTCAGAAAAACACCCCCAGAATATCAAACGGTCGGTCCCCAAACGCGGATTCCATATATTCGACTTATCGTTCTGTGTTTATTCATCATTCTCCATTACCTGTCGTCTCACGGCTTCCTCGCTGCTGTCCCCACTCTGGACACTTGCCGAAAAACTGGATATGCCAGGGTCCACATCAAGTGTAAGTGTTGCAGTCACTGTCAACATATATTAATCGCCCTTTAAAGATATCACTGTTAAATAAACATTGTGTAATAGCATGACGTGCGGACGGGACTATTATTAATGTATGTAAGTACTATAAAACAAAGACTGATACATATATAAATATTTTACAGGGAGTATGAATAATACCTGGAATTTTCAGGGATTATGTGTATTGCCAGATTCACTCGAAATATACTCGTCCCTGAAATGTTCAAGGATTTTGCGAAACATTGTCTCTGAGCTAGCCTACCTCACAGTTCTATACACCCCAACCTATTTTATCTTCATCCCCACACCCCGACTCCACGGCCTGACACCTGTGGCGAGACAGAACATTCTCTCCAACCACCCCAGCGGTCCCTCACCTAACCCACCCCCACCGTTCTATACAACCCGACCCATGTTACCTTCATCTCCATCTCCCGTCCCCTCGACCTCACGCCTGTGGCGAGACAAAACATCATCCCCCTCCAGCTGCAGAAGCAGGTCATCCTCAAGCATCAGCTCCACGTTCTCCTGGTTGAAGGACTTTGTGTTCAAATGTTTTGCTGGGTCCCTCCTGGGGGTAAAGATCCGTTTTTCCTGTGGAAATGGAAGAGACGTATTCTTCCACACAGGTATGAATTCTTCGTCTTCAACATAATTGCCATCGTCATCCATTTGTCCTGAAAAAACCCCAACAGTATCGTTAGTCTATGACCCTTTATTTTGTGCAATTTAGTTTACAAAGAGGATGGGGCACGGGTGGCCCAGTCGTCTAAGGGGCTGCGATTCGCAGGGACGCCACAAACCTATGATTGTGGGTTCGAATCCGAGTTCGCCCCGTTTATGTTTCTAGGTTTGTCAGCACCATACCCGTGCTCGTAGGTTTTACTGAAGTGGGAAACGTCTGAGACCTGCATCACTTCGGTCTTTCCTCCCACATTAAACTGACACGCCTTGATATGACTGGAATACTTTTAAAAGCGGCGTTAAACCCAACTCATTCACTCACTACAAAGAGGAAATGGAAAGACGACATGATCATGTGCTTTGTTTATACTGACCTCCTGTGCATGTCAGTTTTGTTACAGTAACCAGAAGTACCGACAAGAATAGGAAATGGACACCTGAAAACAAAATAAAAACAAACACGTTCATGTGCATTTAATTTCTCCGTATGCAATACGATCACAATATTACACACGCCAATACACTGTAGCTCCTTGGTATAACTACATACAGCAATACTGATCACATGCTTGGGTCTGCGTTCACTGTCCCTAGCGGGATTAAAACACTTGTTAAAATACAAACTGTATAGTGGTCTGTGAAATGTGATGACACCATCAATGTTAACTTCAGTAACAATCGCAAAACTATCACATATTTGTTCGAGCACGAAGAGCAGTATTAAATCTCAGCCTCGTATCATTTCACAGTAATGCCAAATTACATATCTTTGATGACCTTTGGGCTTCCGCAGGTAATAGCTTCCAAGGTTATCTGACAACAGAGGATAAGATCAGACTCATTTTGCCCCGATGGCGTGGAACACATGCCTCAGTCATTGGTTTGTCTGGACCAGACTCTTATTTACCATGTCGCTGGGATATAGCTGGAATATTGCTGGCTATTCACTCATTTTCTCAAGTCTATGATCAATAAGTTACGTGGGCAATGAAAACTTCAACAATGTAACAACATAAGAATATAATGTTTGCCACAAGATTTAGGATTCTGACATGGACACTATATAGGGTTACCTTTTTTTAAAACTTAAACTTTATCATACAGGGCCATTATTATCATCATCTTTCATACAGCGTCACTGTAAATAACTCTACATATAGCCCAAGTTATTTGCTTGATCATATACTTGAGTAAATGAGTGAACAGCCAGCAATAGTGCAGCTATATCACAGATACATGGCCCAGATAAACCAATGACTTCCCCATCCTCTGTTGTAAGCCATTACCTCAAGCGTGATGAGTTTGGATACTTTTATCATTATCTTACATGACCCCAAAAATAAAACGTTACTATGCTGAAAACAGTCGCCTGTCATGAGTAAGTGAGGGAGTGAGTATGGTTTTGTGCCGCTTTTAGCAATATTCCAGCAATATCACGGCAGGGGGACACCAGAAATGGGCTTCATACATTGTACCTCTGTGGGGAATCGAACCCGGGTCTTCGGCGTGACGAGCGAAGCTTTAACCACTAGGCTACCGACCGCCCCTCGCCTGTTATGAGACACTCATTGATATGATGCATGCAATATCGCCTATTGTTTCCTTATGAAAAACATCACCATTGTATAACCATTTCTAACCAGGGTATATATTTTTCTTTTCCCCGGCAGTTTAGAACACTTTAAGTATTCGCCAATGAATTATTGGAAAGTTGCCTTTGCATGTATTTGTGATGGGTGCCACCTATGGGGCAGGATACGCTCGATTTTTCGCGAACAACTGGTAACATCACTATTTGATAGTAATTCACAAACACATGATGATGACATAGTCTGATTCGCACAAACGACTCTGTTTTTGGAAGAGACTTCTTATGAATATGGAACGAGTTTTGTCGATTATATTTCTAATTATTTCAATTCAGTGAATGTAAATTTGAAGTTGATAGCCATATATTTAAGAAAATAAATTACCTTTCATTTTGTATAAATAACATCCACGAACGAAAACCAACACTCCTATCTAAGTATCCAAGTATCCTGTATGAATTCTGAGAATAGTGAAGCCAGGTCACACCTTGGTTGATTGAAATATACCACAACGTCTTTGCATGTCGCAAAACGTTGTCCAATGAATTTTCATTGAAGAAAAGGAAGCTACCAAAAACTCTTAAGTCAGCAAATCGTAGGGTACGGGGATCTATCTGCTAAAAATAACAGTGTGTCTGTTGTATAGTATTAGCGTCTATTCAAATGGGTGGTCAAATGTCATTTTTTTTCATTTCAGTTCTCAACATAGAGGAATACCACACCGCCATACATTGTGTCACAGGTAAACCCAGCTGTGTCGCTACCTGTTTATTCAAAGCCTTTATAAAATCAATTGAAATTAAAGACTTCTTGTAAATGCATTGGCATACATAGTTCCCTTTTTTAATAACGCAAACTGTACCTTATATAACACGCACGGGAACTTACCGCCAGCATGACTGCCGCGAATATAAAAAAAGGAACACTATAGCCACGGTATTTTTCTAACAGTAAATCATTGTTAAACAACATATTATGGTACATTGCTGCAGTAATTATAAAATTGAAAAGATTAAACCGTAAAAGTCAAATAAATCGTTATTCGCAAGAAGAATGGTGACGTATCCTACGTGACGTCATTAGACGACTGACTTTTCTTTCGCCGGGGAGCTTTTGCGTGTTTTGTAGCAGAGGGCAGTCCTATACGCTATAACTGTGACGTGCCATTGAGTTTGAGCGATTTTAGATGTGTGTGTCCTTTGTCCATTACGTTGAAATCTTGCTGTTGCTACCCCACCTCAGTTCGGGCAACTTTCATTGCCGTAAAAGGCGACTATGCTTGTCGTAAAAAGCGACTAACGGGATCGGGTGTTCAGGCTCGCTGACTTCGTTGATGCCTGTCATCGATCCCAATTGCGTGCATCGATGTTCACTGGATGGTCTGGTCCAGATTATTTACAGACCGCCGTCATTTTGCGGGAATATTGCCGAGTGCTGAGTTAAACAACAAACAAACAAACAATATCAGGCAACTGTCGTGCCAATATCACATGCTGTATGACTCATTTTGAATGGCGACTTCGTTTCGATTTTGATCTTTTCAATACATCTTACTTCATGCATCTACCTTTTGTTGTTTTTAAACTAGAGTGGTTTAAACCTATGGTGTTTCTATTGGCAGTCAGTTTTCATTCATTAGCCTTCCGTACCTGCGGTTCAAATCCCGCTGGGGGTTACGGGTGGCCCAGTCGTCTAAGGCGGCGCGATTCGCTGTGCAGAATTGCGTCCCTTGGACACGCCAGGAACCTATGATTATGGGTTCGAATCCTGGTTCGCCCCGTTTATGTTTCTAGGTTTGTCAGCACCATACCCGTGCTCCTTCGTTTCGCCGAAGTGGTAAACGTTTGAGACCTGCATCACTTCGGGCTTTCCTCCCACATTAAGCTGGCACGACGTGATATAACTGGAATAATGTTAAAGCGGAGTTAAACCCAACTCACTCACTTACTCAAATATCACTGTTCACACACACACAGACACACACATAACGGTGTGTCTTGGAATGTACCACTGAAAAGGAACAAATCAATGGAGAAAAAAAATAAAAAATTTAAATATAAATACTTCAATGCTACAGAATAGAAAACATACATGCACAAAGTTACACTCGATTGTCAGGGGCAATGGTTCACTATTCCACAGTATTGTATTGTCCGCCGTCGAGTGAGTCAGGTAGGTTTAGGGCCGCTTTGTAAAGTATTTCAATGATATCGAGGCGTGTCAGCTTGATGTGGTAGGAAAGTCAGGATTGATGCAGACCTTAGACGTTTACCACTGAGGTGAAGTCAAGGGGTCCAGGCTTACACCCCCCTCCCCCCCCCCCCCCCACCCCCACCCCACCCTCCCTCCGGCAAATTTGGGGTCAAATCAACCCCCGGGTGAATTCTCTTCAAGGTCATTTCTTCCCTCCCCCAAACCCTTCACCAAAAGCTATACATTTAAAAGTTCACGTTAATGATGTAACAATTGATACTTTCTTGCCCCAGGCCAACATTGGGTACAGGGTATATGATATAATGGTATAGTCTTATATTTGCTCTACCTAGTATTTGGGTGGGGGAACTGAGTGGAAGAGAGTTATCGCGTTATGGCGTAATTCTGAATATAGAAAGGCAAACAGAAAATCACGAATAAGATTCTATTGGATAGAAACATAAATACTTCAAGGTATGGTAACGATCAACAGTCCATAAGAACAGTGCAGCTGGCATATGCAAATGATCCACAACACAAGAGGAGGTTCACAAGCAAGTTCACACGGTCAGTGGCGAGTGTGTCCAACTTGTGATTTGATGCAGGCCTGGCAACTTCACCCCACTGAGGCCACAAAACGTCGACGAAAGTCCTGGGGAAGATTATTCCATACCTGAGGAAGGATTTGGCGGAGGAGTTCCTGCAGCGTTGTTGGAGGATTCGGATGCCGTCGTAAACGTCACTTCATTTCATCCCAGACGTGTTCAATGGGTGACAAATCAGGGGATCTTGCGGGCCAGGGTAACACATCAACATTGTTCTGATTAAGATACTGCTGTACAACTCGAGCACCGTGTGGTCTGACGTGATCGTGTTTAAACGTCACTCCAGGGAAGTTCTGTTACAAATACGGTAAAGCCCCCAACCCAAAACGATCCCCTTCCAGAAGAAATGGCCGGATGTAACGTTCACCCGTGCGCCTGTAGACATGTGTCGTGTCGTCAGATCGGTGAAGAAGGGAAGGTGACAGATCGGCGAAAGCACCCTTCTCCACTCTTCTCCAAGTGTTGTCTGCTCCACGTCGAAGTCGATGTTCTTGAGTCAAAATTGGGCAAAATCGGGCTGGGCGTCTTGCCCGGATGCCGCGGACGCGTAGACGTCGTCGAACTGTTCCCGCAGGTACACTTTTGCTGCCAGGAATGTTATGGGCTGTAAGGGTTTCTTGCTGGAACCTGTGTCAGAGGTGCGTGGTTCAAATCCATCGGTTTTTGACTACGGGGACAGCCTAGAACTTGATTGATGTGCTGAAAACGTCGCCATGAGTGCCAAATAGTGTTTCTATGGACGTTGAATTAACGAGCAACGCCACGCGTCGAGGTACCAGACTGAAGCATACCTAAAGCTCCCGATCTGTCATTTTCACAGAGGCGTGTCATGTTCCAGAACGATGGTTCAAGGTCTATTTGCTGGCCATTTTTCTCGTATATCCAATGCTTCTTGCAAATTTCGTGCAATTCGAACAACAATTAATTGTTTGCGTTTCTTCGACCATTAACACACTGTTTCTCTGGTTCAAATCCAGATGTTCATTCACAAGATTGCCAATGAAAGAAATCCATCAAACAGTAACTTTTGCCTCTGAGTATACATACGCCACGGTTAAATCCATCCTAAGAATATATCAGCGTGATTTTGTCAGTTTTTAAGTGTGTTTGAGTGCCCTTACTCAATTCTCAGATTCGTCCTGACGAAAACATTGGCGCAAAGCGCACTTTGCATTTTTCATCATTACTGTAAGCAATATTCTTTATCGCCGGAATGGCTTGTTTTCACTCTATAATTATAGTTATCAACACACATTAAACTATCTTCGTTTATTAAAAATCGCGATATTACGTGATCCCATTTCAGAGAGTTTATTCCAGTCGATAATGAACGCAAATACCTTGTGTATAATAATGAACAAATAATATTTACCTATGACTCATCAGTAATGTTGCAGCATTTCGCGGCATGTGTATAAGAAGGTTAAGCTTGAATTGAAGGATATTATGACATGGAACCAAACCCTGTAGATGTTTTAGTGCTCTGGGTTTTCGGAAACTAACATCATTGAAATCAAACACCGCTCTCATATACAAATAAAGATTTCGTTTGATACTTTCTGTCACGTTCAATGGTTTAAGAGTCAGCATTAAATGTCCGTGTACACTACAACGTGGAGCCTTTGGGGACAAATGACGGCGGCAAGTCGTGTAAGAACTGTGATCGTGATCTATATCGCAATTGAATAAAGCGCCCCTAAAATATACTTGCATTTGCTTTTGACGACATTATGATTGGTTGGTTGGTTTGTTGTTTAACGCCGCTCTCGGCAATATTCCAGCTATATGACGGTGGTCTGTAAATAACCGAGTCTGGACCAGACAATCCAGTGATTAATATCATGAGCATCGATGACATGCATCAACCCAGTCAGCGAGCCTGACCACCAGATCCCGTTAGTCACCTTTTTACGGCAAGCATGGTTTGTGAAGACTTATTCTACCTCGGAATTGACGACATTATGAGCAAACGCGAAGTAGATTTTCCACTGAAACACTTTTCTACACACCATAATCCTTTGAACATATCTAAGAGGCTTATACTCCAAGTAGAACGTTCATCATGAAATCATCCTCATTCAACGGTAAAAATAAATAAATATAATAATTTAAATTAAAAATAAATTTCACCGTATTGGAACACAATCATTAATTATATCATATGTCACATATGGATTCGAGTATCATTATTCTTCAAGAGAAGGTTTGTTCAGCACACTGTTTCCAGATATACCACATGATTGATATCAATATTTACTTTTCAGTTGATATTTACGATACCAATTACACGAAATAACTGTACACAAGTATCGGTTTATTTTGTGCTCGTAGGTTTCACCAAAGTACAGCCTTCATCATTTAAGTGACAGACTATGTTGAAAACCCCAAACTCTCTCACTCAAATAAACAATTTGTTCTGACAATAATATGGTTGGATGGATAGGAATCAAAGGGTTTCCTATATATAAAACACAAAGGTCCAAAGATGAGCTGTTTAATTTACATGGCGGTATTTACATGTGATATATATACACATATATTGTGATACCTACCTCTACTATATCTAGCTGGTGTATGGCTGTATTGTCGAGGGCCAGGGGGTCCCACGCGTCATAACTTGCTGTGCAGAACTGTGTTTCTTAGGTGTTCCAGAACCCTTTGATCCCAATCTCAATACAATCAGATCGTAGTTC